TTTATGGCCCCAGGGTCAGGGGTTCTGGTATTAGGGCGGGGCTCTATTGATCATATAGTGAAAATGCATTAATTCTTTGAAAATCTTCTTCTCTGCTTTTGGGAATTAAATAAACTAACTAAGCACATGGTTATGATGAGCAAGAGTGTCACTTCCAAAATTTTGAATTTTATGGCCCCAGGGTCAGTGGTTCTGGTATTAGGGCTCTATTGATCATATAGTGAAAATGCATTAATTCTTTGAAAACCTTCTTCTCTGCTCCCAGGTATTAAATAAACTAACTAAGTACTGAGTTATGATGAGAAAGACTGCTTCTTCCAAAATTGTGAATTTTTGGCCCCAGGGTCAGAGGTTCTGGTACATGTATATTAGGGCGGGGCTCTATTGATCATATGGTGAAAATGCATTTATTCTTTGAAAATTTTCTCTGCTTCTGGGTATTAAATAAACTAACTAAGCACATAGTTAGGATGAGCAAGAGTGCCTTTTCTGAAATTTTGAATTTTATGGCCCCAGGGTCAGGGTTTCTGGTGTTAGGGCGAGGCTCTATTGATAATATAGTGTTAATGCATTATTCTTTGAAAATCTTCTTCTCTGCTTCTGGGTATTAAATAAACTAACTAAGCACATAGTTATGATGAGCAAGAATGCCACTTCCAAAATTGTGAATTTTATGGCCCCAGGGTCAGGGGTTCTGGTATTAGGGCGGGGCTCTATTGATTATATAGTGAAAATGCAATAATTCTTTGAAAATCTTTTCCTTTGCTCCTGGGTTTTATGCCAATGATCCAAGTATATATATTTATGATGAAGAAAGGTGCATCTAGCAAAATGGTTATTTTTTATGCCACCTGGGTCGGGGGAGGGGGGTGTTACATAGTTTGAAATAAATTAATGCTTTGAAATCGGCTCTTTAGTATTAATCAACCATTTCACGATAAAATTTGCAAAATTTTGAAATATGTGGCCCCAGGGCCAGTAGTTCCTTTGGGGTGAGGTGCACAACTAGTTATAAAGTGGAATTGCATTTTCTCTTTGTTACTCTGATCTACCTCTGGGTATTAAGTAAATAGAGTACCAGTAAGCATGCTAAGTTTATAATTATGATAAGCAATGGTGCCTCTTTCAAAATTGTGAATTGTGAATTTCATGGCCTCTGGTTTAAAACACGAACCAATTTTAATTGTTTGAAAGTTGTTACACGATACTCAGGTGACCTATAAGGCCCGTGGGCCTCTTGTAAATTTGTTTGGCTGTATTCATATTTCAGGTCCTGAATTGCCTAAATCATCAATCTTTGTCAATTAATGCATCTTGAGTCTTCAGAAAATTTCAACCAAAAAGTAGGTCACCATGACCTACTTATGGTGTTTTATAGCTAGATTTAAATATCTTCAGTTCTATCTGGCTGAAAATCATCAAACTTTGTCAGTTGGTGCATCTTGGGTCTTCAGAGAAGGTCAACTGAAACATAGATCACTGTGACTACTTTTAAATTTTTTGGAAATTTTAAAATGTTTCAGAAACTCTGTTCAGTTGATGCATCTTGGGTCCTCAGAATATGTTAAATAACAAGAGGCCCAGGGGCCTTATAGGTAACCTGTATATCATGTGAAAACTTCCCAACAATTGAATTTGGTTCATTTTTTAAACCAGAGGCCATGAAATTGACAATTTTGAAAGAGGCACCAATGCTTATCATAATTATACACTTAGCATGCTTACTCTAGTTACTTAATACCCAGAAGTAGATCAGAGTAACAAAGAGAAAATGCACTTTAACTTTATAACCAGTTGTGCACCCCACCCCACAGGAAACACTGACCCTGGGGCCACATATTTTAAAATTTTGGAAATTTTATCAATAAATTATATTTCTTCAAAAATGGTTGATTAATACCAACGAGCAGATTTCAAAGCATTAATTTATTTTCATACTATGTAACCCCCCCCCCCCTCCCGATACAACTGACCCAGGGGGCATGAAATTAACCATTTTGCAAGATGCACCTTTTTTCGACATGAATATATAAACCTACATCATTGGCATAAAACCAAGGAGCAAAGGAAAAGATTTTCAGAGTATTAATGTATTTTCAATATATAATCAAAAGAGACCCACCCCCTCTTACACCAAAACCCCTGCCATGAAATTCACAAATTTGAATTTTACAAATTTGGTTGAGGCACTGTTGCTCATTATAACTATATACTAAGTAATTTATTTAATGCCCAGGAGCAGAGAAGAAGATTTTCAAAGAAATAATGCTTTTTCACAATATAATCAAGAGCCCTGCCCTAACACCAGAACCCCTGACCCAGGGGCCATAAAATTCACAATTTTGGAAGAGGCACTCTTGCTCATCACAACTATGTACATTGTTGGTTTATTTAATATACAGGAGCAGAGAAGAAGATTTTCAAAGATTTAATGCATTTTCACTATATACAATCTATATAGCCCCGCCCTAGCACTAGAACCCCTGATCTTGGGGCCATGAATTTCATAATTTAGGTAGAGGACTCAATGTACATTACATTCATGCTAACAGTTTGACTGCTTGATGTTCAGGAGTAAAGGAAAAGGCTTTTAAAGATTTCTTCATCAATTTGAGTGGTTTTGGCCCCACCCCTCAGGCCCCAGGGGGGAGGAGGCGGCGGGGACCATGCAATTCATAATTTTTGTTCCCCTTCATGCACAGATGCTGTATACCAAATTTGGTTAACATTGGTTCAGTGGTTTCAGAGAGGCTGAAAATGTTCAAATGTTAACACCCGACACGATGCACGACAACGGATGAAAACAAATAGCAATAGGTCACCTGAGTGACTCAGGTGACCTAAAAAAATGGTCATGGTGACTTACTTTTGGAATTTCTAGGCATACGAGGGCCGTTCAAAAATTACGCGGACTGTGTTATTATTTACTCTTACAGACGTCATATAGTTATGAAACTTTACAGAAACATGTATCTTAAAGATTCCAATAAATTTTGGGCAAAATTTCTGTATTTTAAAAAAAATCTTCGAAAATTATCGGTATGTTGATATCGTTGATGGAGAGGTACGGCGCACGACAAAAAAATTGAAGCAAAAAGCATGCAGATTCAAAAATTTAACTCATTGATTTTCTAAAATTCGCAATATTTTTCAACCATTTTCTCAAATGTACCTTTAAATTGTTCTATTATTATGTATTTAGATTTCGGACGTAATATTTGAAGTACTAACAGAAATATAGTGATTTTTCTCTGATGAGATTCTCGTGAAAACGACTGTGAAAATGACGTTTCCTGAATTGACGGCGCACCACACTTTTGTTAAAATATGTGTAATGATCGAGATTTTGGCAACATAGATCCAAAATAAGCGTTATAAAACATGTAGTAAACTAGGCTACTCGTGACATTCGCCCACAAATAGCAAATTGAAATTTTAGACAATTAGACCTCTGTAAAAAGGCTATTCGGGAGGACGGGAAGAAGATTATAGACGAAAAGTTAACTTTATCCGGACTGTAAAGAACGTGATTGAGAGTCACCAATATCACACTATATCTCATAAGTAGTTTTTGGTTTTAAAACAAAAAAAAAGATTTTTTTTTTACTTGTTTAATAGATTTTAAGCTTGACAAGAAATGGTGTTTTGATGTTGAGTAGATAAGGTAACTCAAACTATACAGGTACTCAAGGGAAAATGTTGAGAAAATGAAAGCTCAATCACTTATTTTTATAATACTTGTGACGTCGAAGATTTTGCTGCGCCGTGACTTAATGGTATGTCCTGAAAAATCACTCAAAATTAAAACCAATTTACAAGATTTTGATATGAAATTTTTAAGACCATATAATTAAAGATTCTTTTATATTATTTGTGAAATTTTGCCCGATTATGTCGTCAAATATTTCGTCTGTGCAACCAGTCCGCGTAATTTTTGAACGGCCCTCGTAGTTTGAATATTTCAAGTAATAAGAGTCCCAAGATAATCAAACTCTCTCATTTGAGGCATTTTTGGGTCTCAAAGTATTTTTACCAAAAAGTAGGTCACTGTGACCTACTTTTGAAATCTCATGGCTATATCTTTATATTTAAGATAATAAGGGGCTTAGAATCATCACATTTTGTGAGTAGATTATCCTGGGTTCTCAGAGTGTTTTATCCAAAATGCAGGTCAGGATGACCTACTTTTCAATTTCAAGGCTTTATTTATATGTACAGGATACTTAGAGGCTACAAAGTTATAGATTGTACATTTATCAGACTTGGGTCAAAGTCATGAAAAATTTTAAATTTTTTCTTTTAGTGACCTTGAACTTGCACAAATTAATTTGGGTCAAGGTCATGAAACACCCTCGGGTCTTTGGCTCAAAAGACCTAATAATTAAACTACTTTCATGTAGAGCATACCCCCACATAAACTTTGTTCATTTTCAACTTCTTTAAAAAGCACCAATTTAAACGCTTTAATCTGGATTCTTATATTTAAGATAATAAGGGGCTTAGAATCATCACATTTTGTGAGTAGATTATCCTGGGTTCTCAGAGTGTTTTATCCTAAATGCAGGTCAGGATGACCTACTTTTCAATTTCAAGGCTTTATTTATATGTACAGGATACTTAGAGGCTACAAAGTTATAGATTGTACATTTATCAGACTTGGGTCAAAGTCATGAAAAATTTTAAATTTTTTCTTTTAGTGACCTTGAACTTGCACAAATTAATTTGGGTCAAGGTCATGAAACACCCTCGGGTCTTTGGCTCAAAAGACCTAATAATTAAACTACTTTCATGTAGAGCATACCCCCACATAAACTTTGTTCATTTTCAACTTCTTTAAAAAGCACCAATTTAAACGCTTTAATCTGGATTCTGTACATGTAATTGTAAATGAGTATTAAAGTTCCAGAATGTCTTATGGTTGCATGGAGATTGATTTGAAATACATGTACTACAAACAAACCATATACATGTATCACTGCTTCAAAACACAAGAAATAGTATTCAGATTATTACATTTATTATACAACTTAAAACCTTTGTTAGAGGTTGCTGAACTCTATGGTAAAATGAACAATGGAATTAATGAGACATGTGTCACAGATAGACTCTTTCTTAAAATGATATGGAATTTAAAAATCCAAACAAAAACAAGCTTTCACAGAGTACTATAAAATGATTTATACATATAGTACACATTGTCTGCATTAACTTGAAAGTCACTAGAAAATTACTTGCAAGTTGCTAGAAAATGACATGATTACACTCAATACTGATCAGGGTAGCTCTAATAAATGACTGTCTGTTACCTTCTCACAGTGTGCTTATCCAGCATTATTCAGTTGTACATTACAATGTTCTTCGTGCAAAATAATACCATTTAACCATGTTTCACCCATGAGGCATTTACCCCTAGACAGGAAGCATTGCACATCATTTTTGTCTTTTGGAAAGTTGAAAGCTGTGATAACAAAGGTAATAATATCATTGTATATCAATTCATGTGGCAGTTTGTTAAATCTTACATAATAATCTATCACATGGCAGGAAAAATAACATTTTACTCATTTTCTTTGTATTAATTTGCATATGTTACAGCACATTCATTTAAGGACAGAATACCTTTAACTTTCATCATTTTTAATGTTAACAAAAATCGAATGTTTATAATTATAAATGTGGTCAAAAAAAAGAAAGCAATGGAGATTGTCCCAATACAAAAATGTGCAAGTACTTTCAAGACCTAACATAAAGTACACTGTATCAAAGGTAAAATTCATCTGGGAAACAATTATTGAAAGATCTGCAGTAACATGTACATATACAATTCCACAAATTGAAGACTTGCAACTTATATTAAAAACATGTTTTGAGGATTTGGTACATGTATTTTTAAAATCTCAATTCTCAATAAAGAAATTTAAAAAGTGTATGTTACAGTACCAGCACTCTGCTTCCATTCACAAATACATGCATAAACAAGGTTTTCTCCATCTATAAAACCAATTAAAAACAATAAAACAACTAAAAAATATTGCACTGATCATTTGCAACCCTATTTAAAATTTACACCCACATAAAAACGTATCATTTGATATAAAGAAATTTCAGTCTGCCAATTATTCTAAAAATATGAAAAAGTTAATGTAAAGCAGGAAAGACATCAACAAATATCTCTGGAGAAAATCTGACTATTTTCATAAACAATCTCAAAAAACTTCTTCTCTCATCTCTCCGTATGCTCCATGTATCCTATGTTATATCCCTGTATTCCATTTCAGCACGATGCTCAACATAACTTATAAACATACAGGATTTGAGTGAAATACTGTTTCACAAACCGTTGAAATAAAATATATCCTGCAAAAATTCTACTGAGCCCTACAACTTCAATGCAAGATAAAGCAATGCTGTGAAATCAAGTTAAGGAATGAAAGCTTTTTTCAGATGCAAAACCATTCTGAAAAGATTTGCATTCATCAGTGGCAACCCTTTGTCAATGAAATTCAATAAATTAATCTATATTTTTAAGATACATGTAGCTATAGTAATCACATAAATAAAAAAAAATCATCAGATCTTAAGTTATCTACTGAATTTTTAATAAATCATCTTAATTTCAAAGTTTTTGCTTGGAGGTCAACTACCATAACTTGCATACACAAGTTAAGCTTTCATTCAATTTATCATTATTTATGCCAAAATTTAAGCAAGTTTATTCTTTTCCATCATGGAAAAGCACAGATCCAGGAAAGCACAGAGCATTCAACAGCTTTCAGAACTTGTTCATAAATCATGCAAAGGAATGCCAAGCTAAATTTCTTCTCTATAATGGAACTACAGCTTTGTGATGTTTGTATACACCTCATAAATTCACTGTCAAGGAATCATAATTCTTAAGAGGTACATGGGTTTGCATGGAATACCACACATCACCTAAACTTAAACCATAAACTTCATTTAACTGGTATTATGTTTGAATCTTCAGATATTCATTCCTCCTACTAGCACTTACTGAAATGCAATTTGATATCAAAGAAAAAAAAATATGAGATCATTACCAGATTATGATAACATCTGAATACTGGGTTATAACCCAGAGTTATAAGAAGGTTATAACCCAGATTTATAAGAACAGGGAACAAGATAGTCTTAAGTTAAATATGTTTTACATGACACCATAGACTTTTGTCCATTCAAGTATTCATTTCAGGTAACTTTCTATACCTTATTAACACTTAATTTATTTGTGTGTAAACAATATAATTCAAAATTTCCTTGTTGGTATTAGATATGCAAGTGAAAAAAAAATACTTAAATAGCACCTGTGTAAGAAATTCATAACTGTATCATTGAATTTTTACACCGGATGCAATTTGACTAGAATATATTCAAAGACATGTATATAAATAAGGTTGCTGTCATTTGGCCAATGCTTATCTATTTTACAATGTACATGTATATGTACAATTTAAGTTTAGAAGCAATAAACCAATCTAGTCTCAGCTTTCACTCATATTGTAAAAATGTGATCTCCAACAGTACAAATGCCATTCTAATTAAAAAAAAAAAAAATCTTTTGTGTAAACTTCCAGAAAAATCTTATCATAAATACATTTATCATCTGATAAAAAAAATTATGTAAATAAGAAATATACACCATGGAAAAAGAATTACATCTCTGAAGTTGAATTTTCATAAAAAGACTCAGAAAATGAAATGTAAAAAAAAGTTTTCTGAATAAAGGCATGAGAAATTGATCTGTGATGTCAACATGTATAAAACATATACAGCATCATATGTGGCCATGACTAGGTTTTGTTTTTAAGTTCTAACAAGTCAAAGAACTGAGGTATTGAATGAAGAGGCTGAAAAAGAAAAACAATGAAGGGGTATAAACTAGAGAACTGGTGACACACCACAACAAATTGCTGGAATATATGGAAATATTGGTTCATCTGTAACTACCCAAAGTAATTTCATTTTACAAAGTTACTTCAGTTAAAAAAGGAAAGTTTAATGTATTTCTGTCAGAATACTCCTTCTCACTTTTACTCTGAATCATTCTTTAGTCTGTTTTCTGCCAGTTATTGATCTGTCGGGGAGCAAGGAGGGGGAGGGGGTCATCACAATCTTTCTTTAAAATTAACAGGGGTCAATGAATATCCGATGTCGGACAATAGGACAGTTTTCCATAGTCAGGATTAATAAATGAGAAGCCATGGAATTCTTCTTGGTTGATTGTTTTCACAACAGCTGGGTCCACTGGAGTTAGTGTTGGTTCCTCGGAAGTAAAGTCTTTGTCAAAGTTGTTGGCATCTGTTCTTGATTTCTGGAAAAGAAATTCATCCATGTAAACTAGTACTTCCTCAAAGGAAACCATATTTATCTTGTGACAACAGTGGCTGATAATATGAACACTTCATTCAAAGTAAAAGATCATTACTCTGGTAAAAGATAATCATATTCTTATTATTACTTACAATTTTAGGTTTAAATGGAGGTTTTATTTGTCTTTTTTCTAGCAGATCCCAGTCAATTTTCTCATGGAAAAATGGGTTAGTTAAGATTCCCTTTTCCCCTCCATGATCCTTTACACATCCAAGTCTCTTGGCGGGATTCTTTGTCATGAACTAAGAATGAAAATTGTTTACACCATTTACAGATTACATAGGTCCATGTATATGTATATATTCGATTCATCGCCATTTTCGCTATACCGCCATGATTTGCCAAGAACGTTTTTCCTGCTATATAAAATTCTCTTTATAATGCCAAATTCGCATACCGCCATCCGCCACCCTGTTTTCACAACAAACGTCCATTTTTAAGTGTCTCGATATAAGGTGCAAGAAATGCACATGAAATATGCAATTAAAAATTTGTACAATGATTTTAACATGAACTGTTATTAATTTTGTTTTCTAATAAAAATCATTTAGTAAAAGTCTTCTGATAACGATATTATTTTGATGATATTGAAAATGCAAAATTTGCTTAAAAATAAATATATAAATTTTTAAATGATGCCTTAAACAATGAATTTATTCAAGAATTCACGTTTTATCGGCATTATATTCAACCCAGCATTTTTTTTTTCAATATTTTTTTAATGCATCCACATGTGCTCTCTTTATTTCATAACTGCACATTTTGTTTTAGCGAAATTGTACATAAAAAATTACTTGAAGTATTTTAAAACTTAGAAATATGTTTTAATATGTACATGTACAAAAAAACCTTCTTTTTTTTTACATTCACCGCCAGATTTCTAAATTACAAAAGATTTAACTGTACAAGATTTTAACAAAAAAATAATATCAAAGTCATATATAAGAAATGTACTGAAATACTAAATTTTTACATGTACTTGTCTATTACATTTTCTTTCATAAAAGCTTCACATTGAAAACAATCTTTAAACATTTTTAGATAGAAAAGTCGACATCGATTGTTTTTAATAACCTTCTCATTCATGCTGTCCTCCCAAAAAAACCTTTTTTTTTACACAAGAACAGATTTAAAAAGCTTATAGATATAGAAGTAATTGTACCCCTCTGAGGATCTGTACTGCTTCTTTACTGAGCCAAACAGGGTAGAGAACATCGTCATGGAGGATAGACTCAAACAAGTCCTCCTCATTATCTGCTTCAAATGGAGGCTGACCAGCCATCATTTCATACATCAGGACTCCTAATGCCCACCAGTCTACAGAGGCATCATAATCTAGCTCCTGTAAGATCTGAAATAAATGTTTATAAAAGAACCTGTATTTATACCAGGAATTTTCTTTTGATAATCTAAGCACTAAAAAAAATCAGATATTTTTATAAAAAAGTACTTTTGTCAAAACAGTAAAACTCTGTTATAATGAAGTCACTGGGACCTATGAAATTACTTCGCTAAATCCGTAATTAGTTTAATCCGTATAAAGAATTTGATAAATTTACGTATATAGCTGGTAATCCAAGATAATTTCGCTATATACGCAAATTCGCAATATCAGTGTTCACACTAAACAAATTTTACTGTATATATTTTTCTCCAAACATTTTATCTTTTAACTGTGTCTTACCTCTGGTGCTATGTAATCTGGTGTGCCACAGAATGTCTGTGTTACTTTGCTCTCAAACATTCCTTCTTTACACATACCAAAATCTGCTATTTTACAATGGCCCTCGGCATCTAATAATATGTTATCTAATTTCAGATCCCTGAAACAAAATAAGAATTGCTTTTAAACTTTATTATTACATTAAGTGCACCAATCACCATTAGAAAGATGTGCATGTGTATATACAGGATTAAAATGAATACCGTTGAATGAAGGAAACTATCTTTTTTATTCCCTGGCATTGCAAGAGAGATGATTGGATATGTTCAAATCTTTCTGTTTCATTTCGCAAATATAAATTTCTGTGAATAGACATACATCTTACCTATAAATTATTCCATTTCGATGAAGAAACATAAGAGCAAGAGTCACTTCTGCAGCGTAAAATCTCGCTCTTGGTTCATCAAATTTACGAGCTCGTTGAATTTGGAACATTAAATCACCACCATTTACATACTCCATCACAAAAAATAATCGGTCCTGCAAATACAAAAGTGTAAACTCAGAAAAATCTTTGAAGACTTGTAACAGAATGCTACGGAAGGGGTCACAGAATAATTTCGTGGTTGATGTGAAAAACAAATTATTCATATGTCGAAGATCAATTAGTTCGCGAACTTTTTGATCACCCCTAGTAATATTCAATATCAAAAAAATGTGTTTTTTAAATGAGAATTTCTCTTTTTTTCCCCCTGTAGAAAGTAAGAAGGAAAAGCAAGTCATTTGCAAAATAAGTAATCAATCAATGATTTCCATGGTTAAATGTACTTCTAAATTGTTGTAAACAGTAATTTCAATTTTCAAAAACATGCATTAAAGCATATGATATAAGATTTTTATTTTCATTTCAGTTCTTAAACTGTACTTCAAGGTTATTGTGCATTAGCATAACAATAAAGATGTGTTTGTGAAACACTGATGCCCCAAATGGCAACTCAAGAACAAGGCTAAATTTTTTCAGATGAAGGTCATACTCCTTGATCAAGAGGTCAGAAATGTTTGTACCCAAAGAAAGGTCTTGTCTAAAGAAAATATGGCTAATGCTTAAGTTTATCAAAAGTAGGTCTTACTCCATGGTCAAGGTCATGAGATCAAAATATTTGCCAAAAAATGCTTTCAGGGTCCAATTTAATTTCTTTAGATGTAAGTCATCAAGATGAGGGTACAGAGACTTTAACAAAAAAATATATATAATAATACGGTATAGGGCAGTGAGAAATCCCAACATTGAGTGTATTTTGGGTGTTTTTAAACAAGTAAAATGTAAACATAAAACATGATAAAAGATGTTTTTAAGCTTAGTGTGAATTATTGGTGTAAATTACACAGACTTTCACATACACATATTTTCATGAAGTACACTTAATGAAACATGCTAACAAGAAATGTCTTAAGAGAATTACACACCAAGTAACTCCAACAAAACTTTAAAATATTTCTTGACATATTGTAACCAAAAGAAAGGTCTTGTCACAAGAGATAAATAAGAAAGTCCAAGCACCAACTGCTTTAAATTACAGGCAATGTCAAGTTTTTCTAAAATAGGTCACATTCCAAGGTCATGAAATATTAAAATGTTGATACCCAAAGAATGGTCTGGTACTCTAGTGAAATGCAAAATCCCCAGAACTAACAATAAAATTTTTGGCCAAAGTTAAATGGATAAATTTTTGCAAAGTTAAAGGCCAACCTCAAAGTAAAATGTTTAAGAGGTAAATATGCTTGTACCAAAGAAAGGTCATTTCAAAAGGTGAAATATGAAAGCTCTAACACAATCTGTTCAAAGTTATGAACAGGGTGATTTTTTTTTTTTTTTTTTTTTTTGCAGAAAAACAGACAGGCTGACAGACCAAATTTGATATCCCAGAAATCTTCAATTACAGATTCAATAAAATTCAATAAAATAAATAATTCAATAAAAAATCACTTAATATTAGCAATAAAATATATACATCATCTCCTCTTGTCTTGAGAGTTAACAAATTCAATATTAAATGTAGAGTAGAGTCTTGGGGTATTCTTTAATATCTATGTACTTATAAATAAATCTTATGTTATTTTTCAAATGCATTTCTTTTAATCTTTGATAAAAATCTAGCAGCAGTTATACCAAGAAATCATTAACAGAGTGCAGAGTTCACAATATTAGTTCCCTAACAAGTAAAAGCTTAATGATTTTCTGAGGGAGTGGTTAAACAAAGCGTGGCAAGTTCAGCTTTTTTTGCATGTAATACTTACCATATTTACCACTTATTTTGAGTTTATATCACTCATTATCCTGAAGAGATACATGCATCAATCTATATAATGTTAACCAACTTATACTAGGACCAAAATATAAATGAGGGGAAGAAACCCTAGTGAAGAGATTATCAAGTGAAGTCAAAACAGTGCATTAGTGGGAGGGAGAATAGCCTGCATTGATCCAACTTTCCTAATACATAACAACATCCATGCTTCAATCGAAAACCAGCTGCTCAACTTGACAAGATATTCCATAAAATTAAAATCCTATGTAGCCAATCAGTTGCTATATACATAAATATCAATAAACATGCATTCAATTGATACACATTGTGGTAATTTGAAAAGTATATGTGCATGTACTAATGTTAACATTCTTCACAATATGTTTTTGCAGCCGCTGGGAGCTTTTCCCTCCCTCCCTAACTCAAAAAATTCCAAAATTCAGCCCACTGGCTGCAGAGAGTGTGTTGACATTAAATTTCATTTATCTGTCATTTCATTCTACTGGGTAGTTAAGATCAGGTACTACCATAGTTGGATTGGCCCGATTTATTTTTAAATATTTACTTTTCCAATGTCTTTGTCCGAGATAAAATTACAAATAGTTAATGTACTTTATTTCTTCATAAATGTACTGGTTCATCAATAGGCACAGTAAAAAAAATCAAATGCAGGGCGGTACAAATAGGGACAAGAAGCGGGGCTTGTACCATGTGGATTTGCGGAATCAAGAGCATGTAAGTATAAGGAATAACTGTCAGATTTTTCGATTTCATGACGATGATCAATCGATTGGCTTGCGTGATAATTTTATGCATAAATCCCTTGACATTTATGCAAATTATCATGCAAGCCAATTGATTGTTCACATCATGAAATCGAAAAATTAGACAGTTATTCATTAATTTAATGTTGACTGCTGCAACAGCAAAACCTGGAAAATCTAATTCTTTTTAAATATACTAATGACTGAATGAATGACATGTAACACACAAATGGTTGCTTAAATACATGTATGTCATAAACATTGAAAAGCCCTCATAATAAAGCTATATAAAAGCATCATCAAATTCGTTAATGCAGACAATGTGATCTACAAAACTACAGATAAACACACACACTTAAAATGCTAGGAAAAAAATCAGGACTGGTTACTGGACTTACCCTTGTTTGGAAGCATGAATGAAGTGCCGTGAGGAAGGGATGCTTGGCAGAAAGAGCCAGGATTCTCTTTTCTGTCATGGTGCATTCTACATCATCATCTTGTAATATTGTTTCTTTTTTAAGAACTTTTACAGCTAAGACTTCATCTGTACCCTTCTTCTCAGCTAACATTACCTATATTTATCAATAATTTGAAGATTTATTTTGACTTTAACATTTTACTGTTATATTGTAAACACACTTTTTCAGCAGTTATTATACTTTAGCTCATTCTGAAGTTTGTCTTCTCCACTAATCTATGTACAGATCAATACAAAATTTAAACTAAAACATGCCATGTTAAAAATCTTTTATTAGCCCCTGACTAATTAATTTCAAAGTTAATTTACTCATGCTTTGGACACCTTATTAACTTACTTCAAAAAATTATAAATAAATAAAGTATAAATGATAATGAAGAATGGAAAATTCATCAAACTGAGAAATCTAGTAAAAAATTGAGCCACACTGTTCAAGATGGTTGCACAACATGTTACAGCCTGAACTTAATGTAAATGAACAAAATGACTTATTTGTGTACCAAACAAATGAATTTCTAAATACAAACCTTGCCAAAACTGCCTTTACCCAAAACTTTGATAAAGACAAAATCTTTGAGGCCGATTCTATCTGCCCGTCTTTGGCCTGATCTGTCCTGTGACGGACTTCGCCCACGACTTAAACACATGTCGTCAGCGGAAAGCGTATTCTGATCACTGTCCTCTGGATACTCATCATTCCCATCATCTGAAACATCAGACAATTATCAAGCCTTGTTACACAAATATCTGTCTTTTTAGACACTGTAAAAAAGCAACATTTTCATTATACAATATGCACACTTATATTTAGCTATAATTACTCATCTAGAATTTATCATGATTACATTTACCCTCATTCAAAAGTCTATGCATGTAATTTTGCATATTTTATATATGTTCAACAATATAATCTAATTTCTATAAGCATTATTTCACTGGCTAGAAAGCATTTGTATGACTCGAAAGATGATCCAATACTCTGCCCTATGGGATAAAATTATACAGTTTGCAATAGTAAGATAAAAGAAGCTGAAATTAGTTCAAGGATTTATGGCTATTCAATGTTTTGTTAATATGTTTAGTACATACAAGTGTTTGGTAAAGGTCTATTTTTCATTTGACGGTTACATATTGTAATTAATACAACTATACATAACCACTGCACACATAAACACAGCAAACACCCTATTCTTAGGAGTTGTTATAGAAACAGCAATCATTAAATGGTGTTGCATTATGCATTAAAAACAATTAACACAAAAGTGCTGTTATCAGAAAATGGTTCATATCAGAAACCATGCAATACAATTAGTAGTGCAATGTATCTGAAATTTCTGTGCAAGTTATATACTGGTACCATTTTAACATCTAATCTCTCCTGTTACAACACACAAATGTAAATAAATAAATTTATTGTACTTGTTAATGATATATTCTTAAGAAATCAAATATTTGGCAAATCCAAATATAAATTTAAGACCGCAAATTTTCATAAGTGCAACAGTTGAAAACATGCATATGACAATTTAATCCTCATAGAAAAAAATTGATAAATAATGATTAGATTTTCACCATACCTATCACCTCTACTTCAAAACTTTTTCTCGCAAGAAAAATTACTTTTTGTGTACTTATTTTAACATAATTTGTGTCAGTCATTAGTCTAGTAATTCATGCCTGCCTCCGAAACATGATTTCATACTAGTATTATATACAGAAGTAATGAAATAGCTAATTTAGGTCTGTGCCAAAATCCATGCCTTAGACTGATATATTGTAAATAAATATGCCAAAATAAGTACACAAACAATAATAAGTAAATGTGCACGAAACAAAGTACATGCTTCCAGACATCCAACAAAGCAAAATTTGGCCACAGAATATGCTGGTTTTTATGTCCAACCAATCACATTCAATATCAACGGGAATTTTTTTATCAACCAACAGCTTTACATACCAATACCTGGTTTACATTGTGAAAAAAAAAATTATCATGCGACTGTAGTCTACCATGCATCTTCCCCAACCAATGATAAAAGACAGAGCAAGATGAAAGAGAAGAAGATTTTCCAACAAGATGAAGCCACTCGGAGACGGCATGACACCTGTGCACAATGATTCCGAAGCATGCAGCTACATGTACATATATATAATGTACTAGAATTTGTCACTGGCTACAAAATGATATAGATGTATTGAAGAGCTAACTAAAATGCTATGTAAAAGGCCTGCTTACAGTTTGCTTTATATAGTCATAAGCACTAACTGTGGTGAATAGATTTTCTTACATACTTCTCTTTTTGTCTTTTGAGATTTCTACCTCTTTTTTATCTATCAGATCTGGATGTACATAAAATACACTCATAAAAATGTACTTCATTTTCAAAATAATATGTTCAATTCCAAAAGAAATGAAAAGTTGTAATGAATTTTTCAAAAACTGTAAAAAATTTTGTTGTGGGAAATATCTTGATTTCTAAATCCTCAGCATATTAATCAATAATTTGTACTTTTGTATTAAGTACCTTGCCTATAAAGAAAATTCCTATAAGCAGTGACTGATAAAAAAAATAACAGTGTAAGATAAAATTGTTTTTTTAATCAGATAAATTAAATGTGTTCCAATGTAATGTTCAAGTATATTTATGCACTAATAAAATTTAACAAATTTCAGGTTGCATTGAAATTGTGTTTCTATATTATTTCCTGGAAGTATCTTTGTAAACCATTTTAAAAATGTATTAAGAGCAGGACTATAAAATTCCTTAAATAAGTTACCATGATTCCCAAAATAAAATATTAATTATTCCCATGATAATTTGTTAATAGGATTGTATAAATAAGATCACCATATCTGCATTCAAAGAGAAATGAAGAGAAAAATATGTAGCCAAGGACAAAGACAGGTGTTTGATTACATACTAGCAACTGTGTGACTCCGCATGTAGGGAATTTTTTTGTTCCCGTTTTTCTTTTTTTCTAAAATAAAATTATAAGAAACACAATGAACCAAAAAAAAAAAAGATAGGAAAAAAGTAGCAACTAAAACATAACTATGATACAGTTTGTAAAGAAAGAACATTGAGAGGTTCATATAATTACTCAAACATGCATAAATTAAAAGAACTTGGTTCATTTTAAGCATAAATTGGCACATGGAATTAATTTTTTTTTGAATGCTAGCTGATAATAAAACAAAATTTCTGAATTCTGATATGAAAAACAACTGTTCCATTGGTTTCTTTTCTTTTTTTAATGGTGGAACTTTGAAAAATTGCTGAACATTGTGACAAAATACTAATAATTCAAAATGAGCACCACAAGTTCCAAAAATAATGACTAACCAACACTTGGAAGAATTCTTTTAAAACTGAGCTCTATAGACCAGATATTGTTTCCATTGATACCCATATCCTAAAGTGTATGGTTTTTGGGAGTCCAAATGTTATCAAAAGTGTGATATGCTAAACTGTAAATTTTTTGTTTTGTCAGTCACACAGTCTTGAGTTAAGATATTATTTCACATACCGGTAATTACACATGTATTTAAAACTACTTTGAAATTTTGGGTTTGGAAGACCATTCATATTCAACATAAATAAATTTACTTTCAAACAATAATCAAATTCAATACTGAGTGAATTTTTTATGAATCAGTTTTATTCTCTTCTACATTAGGTCATCATTTTAAACTTAAATGATTTAGTTCAATCCCCACTCACCTTTTCAAACAATGTATTATAATTATTGATTCTCTGTTACATAGAGACATTAGGGTAAGGTCAAGTTAATATGAACATATTTTGTTGTTTCACTTTTATTTTAACTTTAATTGATCCTGTGGTTTATTTAAGTGGGTCGCACCAATATCTGTTACAGGTTATATTATGTCACAAGCACCTTCCATATCTAGTGTTAATTGTTAAAAATTTATCAAAATAACTCTTAATTAATCAAAAATTAGAAATTTAGGTCAAAAAGTTATTTCCTGATCATTTATCTGTCTCCACTCTGTTTTAAAAAAAACAACAAAGCATATTCTTTAAAGAAAATGTATGTAAAATAATGATTATTTTATTGCAAAAGATTAGTTGTTTGTTGTTGGTTGTTATGATGAAAATTGCAGCTTTATATAACAGTGAATCCCAGGAAAAATAACTGTCTATACATATACCCAATAGCAGCAAATGGTTGGGCCTATTATTACTTGGGATATGGATCTGCTTAAAAATTAATCTGAGATGCCTATAAAGAGGTTAGCAAATAGTTAGAACTATGTCTTAGGACAGGCTCTCACCCAGGGTCCATAGGACATTTATCATTTTAAAGACAGAACATTCTATCTAGTACAGAATAAACTCAACTTCTAGAGGTGTCAAAGCAAAAATATACATCTGCATGTTTTTTAGTCATTTTACGTCAGAAAATTTTTAAAATATCTTTTTGATACTAAAAGTGTTAATTTTGAAATTTATCAGAGCCAAATTAAGCCTTCTATGAACCTCGTCTTTTTTATTGGTATGATAGAATTTTTTTTAACTAGATTACAACAGTAGTTCACAGCACATTGATAGATTCAGTTCATTCTTTAATGATGCTATTTATATTTTCATTTTAATAGTGAATCTAGTGCAATCTGGTACTTTGATTTAACACAATTAAATTTCATTCAATATTCATGCCACAATTTATTATCTTTATAAATAAAATCTACTCTAGAATGAATATCATGTACATCCTTAAGATGCTCATGCAAATATAATTGTTCAGTAGTACGCTGTTGTTTTATTGTGTTTACTAGTAGCTGTTTATGTATTGAGAATATTTGTCTCACTTATCTTACCTAGTTCGGGAAGAGGAGATGTCAAGCGCCCCTGTTTATCCTTGTTCGGAGATTCTGTACTTATTGATGGCTAAAACAGAAAATCAATCTTTGAGAAATGGATTACACATTGACTGTAACAATAATAAAGAGCTATATAGATTATAGACAGTATATACATTATACAATTATATTGAAATCAGTCTAAAAACTACAGGAGGAGTAGCATCTTGAAAAATAGTTTACACACAGACAGATAGATGGACACCTTACTAGCATATAAGCTCTTCTGGTCTCTGACCAGTAGAGCTTAAAATTCTTGTTGAAAAACTTGTACATAACAGCTGAATTTAAGTAGATATTACCGGTATTCACTCAGTTATCACTGACTATAAATCCAAATGTAGTCATTTTAAACATACACTTTTTTATGCTTTATTCGTATGAAACAATTTCTTAAACAAATCCTGTACCTTTTTTCTTGTATTGCCAGGTGTAAGTCCAATTTCTTGTATCACCTTTGCCAGCTGTTTTGAATTTAGTCCACAATTATTTGCAACATTTTTCTTGCACCTTTTGTGAACATTTATTTTGCAATCTGAAAATAAAATTTGAAAATGTTATACAAAATATTCTTGTAAAAAAGAATTAGCTACAAAATCCTGACTTTTCTGTAACAGACAGGCCATTGTTACAGTATTATAAAACAGTAAATTACAGTGGATTTTGACAGGAAAATATTTGCATTCTTTATCTTGTCACTCTTACTGTAAAAACAAAAGGCCCAAGGGACACAATGCTCACCTACATGATTTTGGCCCTAGTACTCTTCATCAGATTTCCCCCCTTATAATATATTTTGTGGCTCCACCCTACACCTAAAGGCCATGGTTTGAACAATTGAAAATGTACACTACCTCAGAAAGTTTCCACTCAATTAAGTTTCCTTTTTTTCTGACCAAATACAGGTGTATTAATTGAGATTTTTTAAAGACCACACCTTTTTACCTTTTCTTGTTAATTGTTATATGTCCTTCATTACTTTTTCAGTAATTTATTTTTTTTAATAAATTAACCTCCCCTTCACTCAAGATTGCTTTATCCAAACTTTCGCTAAAATTGGCCCTGTAGTTCTTGAGAAGTGTGAAAATGTTGGCCCTAAGTGCCAAGTACAGGTCTAAATTTGCAGCTCTCCACTGTGTTGGCATTTCAATACGAGTGAAAAATTCTCAAAAGAGTGTTTTATAAACAAACAAGGATTCATTGTATTTGAGTTGACAGAGTGTATTATGCATATTTACTTCTTACAATATTCAGTTATAAGGGTTTTTTCTTGAGAATAAGAATAATGTGTATCTCAGTTTAAAAAGTAGCAGTAGAAGCAGGTTTTTACTTACCTCCACATTGCTCCCCTTGTTTAACAATACCATACAATAAGGAGCCACAGTGGTCACAGAATGTTGGTCTTTTATAATTGTGTACATTGAAACGATGTGGAACATTAATCTTCACCCGTGGTACCTGCTACAAACAGAAAGTATAAAACTATTGTAATCGACAGCAATCTACTTTCATTTTGCAAATAAAACAAAATACCCGTTACATTGTAATAAAAATTATTTGTATTATATTCTGAAAATTTTATTGCCTAAAAAAATTTCATTTGACACTATTCTCAAATGTTCATTACATGTATACATGTGCATCCCTTTATGATGGATAAAAAAAAATCTTAAAAAACCCTTTTAAATACGTAAAATATTTAAATAATGAAGCTAATTGGTTGGTCATCAAATCTCCTTAATCATTAAATAACTTGTTTCATTGAAAAATTTTGCTCACAAAAAAATGCAGACTTGTGATATGTCATATCCCCCCGTCATTTTTTAATGGCCAAAGTTTATAAATGTTTCCATATTCCAATAACATGCCCAATTTGTCTCCTACCTCCACACTTGCGTCGTCCTTTGAGCCTGGACATTTGGTAACTACACTGTTGTGGCAGCGTTTATGGACCACACATGTACACACTTGACATTGATAACCTTGATTCCAAAGTCCCCTGCATTGTAAAAAAGATTGACTAGATTTTTGCTTTGCAATATGCTTCAAGATTGAAGCAAACTACAGAGTAAAATATTCAGTCTATTGTTGAATGAAACTCTATTTCCATCATAAATTTCTGTGGTTAGGATGACCACAGGATGACCAATCACCATTACCTTTGAAATGCACATAATTTGGAATTTATATTATTTTGATACATGTACCAATTATTGCTTCATTTATTAGATGCAATAATTTAAATACCATATTTAATGCTACCCTGACCTCTAATTTCTAATTTAGTAACACACTTTAGGGGCCATTCTCATGTCTCTACTGAGTCTATTCTTGACTTCATTACCTGGTAATGTAAGGCTGACCCCCGTATTTATGCCTTCATTTTATTTAAATAAACAGATAATATAGCACTTTACTCCCATATTGTTTTTCAACTTTCTTTTTACTGTCAAACTCCTGTTATTTAGTTAATTTTCCACTCTCTAAGCCAAAATAATACTTCATGATGATGTGTTAGTTGATGATTTATATAGGTCTACAAATCTTGTGCAACTTTTGTGATCATTGTGATACAGAAATCAGTATCTGAAAGCTGTAATACTATTTTCAGTGTGAATGCTTATACAGCAGAAAAAAAATTTCATTCACCTGGAAATGACACAGGTGTCACTCAAGGACACTCCATCAATGAATATCAAAATTTATCATATTCATGCAATGCTTTTAGGTTTCTTATGATAAATCAAATGTATCATCCATAATTTACTGCAGAATTTAAAAATTGACAAAACTAGAAAACTCATTGCTGAATATTGAAAGACATGGATGCTAATTTCAAGAAACTGTCACAATTATTTTTTGAGTTGCTAATCCTTAAGTGCGAATGCCAAGAATACATGAATAATACAGAATTTATGGCTTAATTAACTAAAGGTTTTCACCTTCTATTCTTAGTATGCAGAGCTGTCTATTTTTAATTAATTGACATTTAGTATTATTGGGATCTCTGATGTAGAACATTAAGTACTTGTATAAAATCACAAAAGAAACAATGCAAAATACAATAGTTGATCCAAAGTAATGTCTCAACTGCTACAAAAATCTTTATCAATCAAATGTTATCAAAGCGATTCACTATGTTAATATATATACCCCTATTTATTTTGATTCTTGTCTGAAAATTGCATGCGATTACTTCGAATATTTTTTAAATAAACATAGGCGATGATAACATGTATCTAATAGAACAATTAAAATGTTTGGTAAAAAGAAAGGAGAAAATGTTTATAGGGAAACAAGACTTGCATCTAACCATATAAAATCCCGACACAATGAGCAGAAAGTGGGCTGACGCAGGAGTGTGGCCATGAATTTGTGTCCATTGACTTGATGAACCCGTCTACGCATTGCCCCACGTCTGCGATTGAGTAAACCATCCTTTTCTTTAAATACTCTTTCCTTTGGGGGTTCTGTAAAAAATGTATTGAAAATTAATAAAAAATATCAATTGACTTTACATATTTCAGTCCTACCACTAGCAAAGTAAAAATCAGTCTCTTCACAACACAGAAATATTCATTCTAGAACATGACATTCCTAATTCTAATCTTGAAAGATATTCAGTCATAAGAGCTAAGTTCAAGTACGGTACCTGCTGCATAAATATATATAGACCTGTATAAACTGAAAATGATGTTTATAGTGCTGTGCTACAGGTACTAATTACTTGCATGCTACTTTGCTGCACAGAACTTGTTCAAATGATATGCACCAAAAAAAATGGGGAATTTAATAATTTTATGCTCCACTAGGTGTCACATCCAACAAATGTTTTGTAAAATGCAAACACATATTATTTTCTACTTTACAAGTCCATGGCAATTAGCACTTCACAGATGATTCCATCTAATTTCAGTTTTCATGATAGTAAGCAATAATAGGATCAGAACCATCATTTAACATATTGAACTTCTGCTGGATAAATTTTGACCTTTAAATTAAAAATAGAGATCGGTGATATAAACAGTGAAAACAAAGCATTCATTATGCATGGACCAAGAAGGATTGCTTTTAAGCAGAAACAAAAGAAATCAACAGCCAAATCTTCGCAAACAAGTATGGGCAATTTCAAAGCGATGCATGCAGTGAGCTATATCAATGACATGTTTGTATGGAGGAAATTCGAGTTTAAATCTACAACCTTATTGAAATTAAAAAAGTTATTCACTTGCACTTTTTACTGTGTTGGTGTTAATATATTTGCTTTATTGATTTAAATATATACTGTGGAAATTTCAAGCTTTATTCTGAATTTTAGATGTAATGTTCAAACGTTCCTTAGTGTTTTGAGTATAAGGTAATTAGGAAAGATAAATCTTGAAAGTGGACTTTTTATACCAAATATTTTTTAAATTGGCATTTTCATTTCGTTTAAACATTTTTCATTCAATTTCTCACATGTAATTCATTGAAATACATTCCTTGTCTCTTCAGAACTCATTTTCTTAATGTTTTGTGCACAGATTAAACAGATAATGATATTAATTGTTTTTTAGGAGAAAATTATTTTTTCTAATAAAATTAATATTAGGTATTATGAGATATTTTCACTGTTTGTACTTGTCTTAAGAAGATGCCCATCATTTGACACTGAAAGTTCTGAAATTCTGGTAACAATAAACTTGAAATAAAACATTTCACTAAAATTAGACAAAAGCTAAAAAATTCTCTAAAAAATAATGATATCAATAGTTCTGGATATTTGACATCTACATAATAATGCTGTAATGCTAAAATAAACTGTTGCCACCTTAACATATTGAACTTCTGCTGGATAAATTCTGTTTATTAAACAGAGATATATGCATTATTATATCAGTAGCAAAAGTGGCCATATTATTATGATATGTGAATAAATGAAAAGATAATGTTGACAGTAAGGTAAGCAATCCATTTCTTTTAAATACCAAGTATTTTTTAAATGACTTAAATGTATTTCTTTTCCACATTTACAATCTCAAAATAGTCCCCCACCCTCCCCCCATTTCATGAAGAGTGGACCCAATGGCCTGTTGTTTGACCTTCATAGAGAATAAATTAACTACCGTATAAGTAGAAATTTTAGCGAGGATTTAATTTTGGCATTATTAGCGAGGTTGCTAAAATTTAATTGCAATTTATTTGTTATAGCTTCTTTAATGTGCATTTTAAAATCGCTAAAATAACAACTCGCTAAAAATAAATTACCAGTTTTTATGGACAAATAGCTAAATTTGTGTCTCGCTAAAATTTCCACTTATATGGTAGTATAAAACATATATATCAAAGCTTAAGAATTCTGTAAACTGTAAAAATATGATACTACATAAATAGAGAAAGTATCAATTACTTAACATTAAAGAATGAATCAAATACATTCGATGCTTTTCAATAAATGAAATGTCAATTGTCATTCTGTCATAAACAAAAATACCAAGTCGTATTTGATAAAATATGAACTGTCTAATAATACAAAACACTACTGTAAGTACTGTTCTGTGTGGGTGGTTGTATAAGTATGAATACTACTGTAAATTACACTATAGCAGATGTGTAGACTAGTGCTTCCTTTATGTGGAAGTTAATACTCAACTTTAGGTGAACATATTTAATACAGCATAAAAGTGAAATGCTTATGAGATTAGTGTAAAATGACTAATACATATATTGTATTTAAACAAAGTAAAATAGTACAATGGCATCTTATCAAAATATATTTAACAAACTACATATCATGTTGCTTGTTTTGAAAAATATACTTATTCATTAGAAATGAATAAAACTTAAATATGATTTATGAATAGATGATACAGAGAAAGGATAATTATAAAAGTACACTCTGGTAGCTAAGGGTAGTACTAATATGATTTTATGTATTCTATTCATGGAATGTTATATCTTTTTACTGTTAAACTACTGCAAGTCTAAGATTTTAAATTTCATATCTATTACTACATTAACTATCATCATGATCATTGAATAATTTATCCAAAATATAAAGTAAACAATAAATGATGTAGATCTAAAATTGAATTATGAAATAAATCAAAATTGTAACCAAACAAAAATATAATAATTATTTTAAGCATTCTTTTTTCCCTCACTCCCTTCTCTCTACTAAATCCCTGTGTCCTATCTACTAATAGATCAAATTACTTTTAATCACAAATTCACAAAACAAAATGTTCTATATACTAATTCTGTGAAGGCTGAAAAACTCTGTCTTAAAAAATAATGTTGACAAGAGGTGTGTTACAAAAGCTTCACAACACAGATAAAATGGAAAGAAGTGCCATATATGGAAAAGGATTCTCACATTCCAATGAAGGGTGGCATTACACCAAATGTCTGTTATATGTAACTTGGTACTTCAGCAATGAATTTTCTTTTCAGTTACAAATAAAGAGATTTTAGACACTCCCCAAATTTAATGTGAAACAGGATGACCATATTCCTTGTCAGGATTTCTGACAGTTGAATGGTCGATACTTTTTAAATTGAGTTTTAAAAAGTAAGCTGCATGTACAGGAGTATAATTGACATAAATTAAATCACTGATCAATTGAACGTTCCCATGCACACATACAGTAAATAATGATAAGACTGCCAGCAAGGGCACCTGCTCAGTGCAATGTTTACATACTGCAATGATTGCCATGAATCTGTTCATATATACCTTTTTGTTTACTTTTTAAATCAGCTATAAAATCATAGTTTGAACTTTTCTATATGAATATTATCTGGTAAGATAAATGTATATTTACTCCAATATTTATTTTATTATGATAAATAAGCTCTCCCTATTTATTTACATTGTTAATATTGGTGGTAACCTCATTAACATAAATGATCACATCGGCGACAGAAGCCTACGTCATTGGCTAATCTGAAAATCACTTCTCCAAACAAAAAAGATGCCAATAGTGCACTAGAATGGTATAGCATGCAATGAACATTATCAGCTGATTTTATAACAAGTTTCTAAATGGTTATTGGCAAAACACACTCAAAGGCTGACCTGAATTTGAGGTTACGAACGGAATGTACAATATATGCTAATGATATGGTGTTGTGTATTACCTTCAGATGTAGAGCCCTGTAATTCCAATATAATGTGTATTTGTCCATTTGGTTCCAAATCGACCTAAAATTCATTAAAAAATATATATCAGTTAACCCATGTGCAGAACAGCATATGTGATATTATATGAGAATGTTGAGTACATTCCAAAAAAATATACAAAAGCGACTCGTCTGCTGCGATTCGGGCGTCCATCTTGAATATCCAAATTCCCATTCCAACATTTCGGAGCTGTTTGTGGCTATTTCCAAACACATCTTTGTGGGTAAATCACAAGATACAAAATTATGCATTTAACATACCCATAAATCGTTAGATTTTTCCTTGATTTCTTCGAATGGGATCGAACAATTTGCAACAAAATCGTCGGGGGGAATGGCCGCATCATGGAAAACCGTAAGTCCTATCGTTCGTCCGTTATGCACTTCGGTCACAAAATTCTCGTTCCACACAGGAGTCAAAGTTTTCGTTTTTGTGGTGGTTCTAGCAACTTCATTGTCATCTACGTCTACAGATATATATGGATCTATCAACTGAGCCCCCTTGGCTATTTGATGGCGAGTCGAGCAGTCGGTTGGCTTAAGATCATGCGCCTCGCAGATCTTAAGCGACATAGTTCCATTGAAAAACTTCATTGTATGTTGTATTTATACACAACTGTTTCTCATTATAACATCCATAATTAATCCATTCGTACACAGTCGAAATAACTCAACATTAGAAACAACTTATCGCGGAAGTCGGTGCTTTGCTGCAATATATGCATTTTTACGTGTTACGCATGCGTGAAAATACCATCATGACCTTGAACTTAGAATGCTTGGATTTGTTTTTATTTTCAAATAAATTAATAAACAAAGTATCAGATTATTGATGGGGGGTTTTCATTTAGGTTTAATTATAAACATATTAAAGACTTCGATGTTTAAAATAATATTGAAAATTAAAAGGGGAATATAGTTCTTAGGCATATGATATAGACGTACGTTTTAGTTATACCCCCCCCAAATAACAAATAAATAAATAAATAAAATTTGGAATTTATTCAGTCTTTTACTTCCCTGTTGCTACAATGTGGCAGCACATGGAATTATTCATTTTATGGTCGGTAAACTAAGACTTAAAGAATTTTTTAATAAATTTATTCCTTTAGTTAACAATTAAGCCGAACATTAAAAAAAGTGAAATTCCATATACAAAAAACAGACTATCAATATTGTTCACTGGTTATACTGAAATGATAATGCTTATTTTGTTATCTAACTGACTTTTTGCTTCAATTTGCACTATTTCAAATTTTAATTGAAAAAATCAAATTTTTGTAGAGGATTGTTTTGGCAACTACCTTCAATTAATCTACTAGTATTTTCAAACGTTAATATTTTTGTATTTGAACGATTTTTCATATTTATAATTTACTAATTAGATATTTATGTGAATTTTCATAAAACCTAATACTAGTTTAAAATAATTTTTTTTTTCTTAAAAAAATCAGTTTTTAATTTGTTAAACTTGTGTTTTCCACAAAAAATAAACGGAAAATGGAAATTTATTCTCAATTAACCCATTTCCTCCGTGAAACAAAACTTTCCATTTAGGGGGACATTATAGTGTTATTCCGCAAATTCATAGCAATGGTTAGGTTTTGATGTTTCAAGGGGGACAAAAATTTAGTCAATTTATAACCAATATAAATGTAAATAATTTTTTTTAAAAACAGTTCTCTATTAATATCTGATACATGTTAAATTTTATTATGGAATCATGCACTTTCCCAGCCCGATATGCTAAATTATCCAATGTTTCCAACTATCGTTGATGTCCCTGGCATACCAAACAAATTATAGACAGTGATCCCTCTTATTTACTTTTCATTTTGAAATAAAATTATAAATATAGATTTGAAAAAAAAAAATGTTTAATAGATTTAAACAAGCAATTTCAAAGAATTGTGGTCCCCCCGCTTTCGGTGTCTTAGTGGGTGGGATGCCATTATTTTTGGCATATTGTATCAATTATTTATGGACACCCCGTCATATGGCATTAACAAGAGTTAAACAAAAAATTGAAAATAAGGTCAACATGAAGGTCAAGGGCTAAAAATCATAGCATGCTCGGAAACATCTTGTCACAGATAATGCACAAATATGAAAGAAATATCTCCTCTCAATCAAAAGTTACATGTACATGTATAAGGAAAATTAATATTTTTGAAAAGTACGTCAAACTTCATGATCAATGTCACAGGGTCAAAATTCATAGAATATTTAGAAAGATCTTATCACAGGTAATATTCAAGTGAAAATATGAAAGCCCTAACGCATCTCATTCAGAAGTTATGACCAATGTAAAAGTTTTTGTGACAGACGGACATACCTACAGACTGACAGACAAATGAGATTTCATGTCCCCTCGCTTTCGCAATTTTAAGCGGGGGAAAATTTCACGAGGCCTGCCAATATTCAAGTTCAGTAGTTCCCCCACTGACGTCAACACAAAGACAGACGCACAAGATTTTTACATGCATATTATGCCGTCTTAATTAGCTCCTGACCTTTCGCTTGTCGATCCCATTCCGGTTGAATTATTAAGAAATCAACTCATCTAGCTTTCAAAGAGTTTTCATAGAGAAAACAAAATGTGTTTATGAAACACTGATGCCCTCGTATGGTAACAAAGCAAAGGTTATATTTTCTCAAATGCAAATAAAAAATGTTTGTACCCCAAGTAAGGTCTTCTCACAAGAAATATAAATGTGAAATACAAATTTTCTAGCACTACCTGTTCAAAAATTATGGCCATGCATGGTTAATGTTATTTAAAGGTAGTCAAACTCCGGAGTCAAGGTCAAAGGGTCAAGCTTGGTTTCTAAAAAAGTCCTTGTCACGAGGATAACATATTTGAAGTATGAAAGCCCTAGCCCTAACCCTAACCGATTAAAAGTTATTGCCAAGGTTAAAGTTTTTAAAAAGTAGTTAAAACTCCAAGGTCAAGGTCAAAGGGACAAAGTTCTTGGTACTATAGTATCCATTGAAAGGTCTTGTCACAAGGATTTCATATGTGAAGTATGAAAGCCCTAGCCCTTACCATTCAAAAGTTGTGGCTAAGGTCAAGGTTTTTGGAAAGTAGGTCAGTCTCTAAGGTCAAGGTAAAAGGGCCAAAGTTGTTGGTATCCATTGGAAGGTTTTGTCAGAAAGAATACAAATGTGAAGTATGAGTCCTAGCACAAACCATTCAAAAGTTATGGTCAACGCAAAAGTTTGGATTTTTTAGTAAAAGTGTGTCAAACTCCAAGGTCAAGGTCAGGAGGTCAAATTTGGTGGTACCCAAAGAAAGGTCTTATAACAAGGAATACACATGTAAAATATAAAAGCCATAGTCTCAACCAGTCATAAGTTATGAGCAAGGTTAAAGTTTTTGCGAACAAACAGACAGACTGACAAGGCAAAAACTATATACCCCGAACACTGTTGACCCCGTATGGCAACATAGCGAAGATTAAATTTTTCTTAAATGCAAATTAAATATATTATTACCCGAAAGTCAAGGTTATTCGTGATATCCAATGAAAGGCCTAGTCACAAGAATTAAATTTTGAAACATGAAAGCCTTAGCCCTAACCCCTTAAAAGTTATGGTCAAGGTTTGTTCTTCAAAAGTAGGTTAAACTCCAAGGTCAAAGGGTCAAAGTTCATGGTATCTAATGAAAGGACTTTGCACAAGGATTACATATCTGAAGTATGAAACCCTAGCCCTTACCATTCAAAAGTTATGGTCAAGATTAATGTTTTTTTCACACGTACGGACATCTCCAAGGTCAAGGTCAACAGGTCAAAGGTGTTGGTATCCAATGAAAGGTCTTGCCACAAATGATGCATATGTGAAATATAAAAATCCTTGTACATATCGTTCAAAAGTTATGACAAAGGTTAAAGTTTTTAAAAAGTAGGTCAAACTCCAAGATCAAGGTCAAAAGGTCATAGTTCGTTGTATCCAATGAAAGGTCTTCTCACAATGATTACATATGTGAAGTATGAAAGTCCTACCTCTTTCCGTTCAAAAGTTATGGCCAAGGTTAAAGTTTTTTATTCATATGTTCAGAAATCTCCAAGGTCAACTGGTAAAGGTTATTGGTATCCAATAAAAGATCTTGCCACAAAGAATACATATGTGAAATATGAAAGTCCTAGTATCTACATGCACCATTCCAAAGTTATGGCCAAAGTAAAAGTGCGGATTTTTTGTGAAAAATTGGGTCAAACTCCAAGGTCAAGTTCAAAAGGTTAAATTTGGTGGTACCCAAAGAAAGGTCTTGTCACAAGAAATACATATATGAAATATGAAAGTCATAGCTCCACTTAATCAAAAGTTATGGACAAGGTTAAAGTTTTTTTGACGGACTGACAGACGGACGGACAGCTAGACAAACTGACGGACAGACGAATGAGATTTAATGTCCCCTCGCTTTAGCAAAAGCGAGGGACAAAAATATAAGGAATACAATAAGGAATCAATGTTTAGTTTTTTGGGTATGCCAGGGACATCAAAGATATTTGGAAACATTGGATAATTTATATGCATAACGGGCTTTTATGCAGATTATCCTGTTTCATACTATCGTTGATGTCCCTGGCAGACCCAAAAACTAGACAGGTTATAGACTGGTGAAATTTTGTAAAAATTAGTCAATATCCAAGGTCAAGTGGTCAAATATGATGGTAGTGCAGAAAAGATTTTTGAATTTAATAAAGTGGGACACACTTCTTTCATAAAGAATACAAATTAAAAGAACTAATGCCAACCATTCAAAAATTATGGCAATGTGACGTTTTTGGAGAATAAAAAAGATAGAGACCAAAACTACTAGTATTCGGTCCCAAATCTTTTATTTTGGGTTACAAAAAGCATGTTTATTTATGCCCCGTAAACAAACTTTCGGGGTATATAGTTTTTGTCGTATCCGTTCGTCTGTCTGTCTGTCTGTTTGTTTGTCCGCAAAAACTTTAACCTTGCCAATAACTTTTGACTGGATGGGACTATGGCTTTCATATTTCACAGGTGTATTCCTTTTGACAGGACCTTTCTTTGGGTACCACCAAATTTGACCTCTTGACCTTGGAGTTTGACACACTTTCAAACCAAAATTCCAAACATACCTTAGCCATAACTTTTGAACGGAAAGGGCTAGGGCTTTCAATCTTTTCATACTAAGTACGTAATCCTTGTGACAAGACCTTTCATTGGATACCAACATCTTTGACCTTTTGACCATGAACATTGACCTACTTTTAAAAAACTTTTATCTTGGCCATAACTTGGCGACTGCTTTCATACTTCACATATGTAATCCTTGTGAAAAGACCTTTAATTGGATACCAACAACTTTGACCCTTTGACCTTAACTCTGGAGTCTGACCTACTTTTTAAAAAAACTTTAACCTTGGCAATAACTTTTGAACGGTTAGGACTATTGCTTTCATACTTCCCATATGTAATCGTTGTGATAAGGCCTTTCTTTCAATAACAACAACATTGACCCTTTAACCTTGACCACGGAGTTTGACCTACCTTTAAAAAACGTTAACCTTGGCCATAACTATTGAACAGGTGGTGCTAGGGTTTTATATTTCGTATTTATATTGTATTTCTTGTGAGAAAAACCCTACTTTGTGTATAAACAGGTTTGATTTGCATTTGAGAAAATTTAACCTTTTTGCCTTGTCTGTCCGTCTGTCTGTCTGTCTGTTTGTTCGCAAAAATTTAACCTTGCCAATAACTTTTGACTGGGTGGGATTATATGGCCTTTAATATTTCACAGGTGTATTCCTTGTGACAAGACATCTCTTTGGGTACCACCAAATTTGACATCTTAACCTTGGAGTTTGAAACACTTTTACACCAAAATTCCAAACTTTTGCTTCGGCCGTAACTTTTAAATGGTTGGTGCTATCGGACTTTCATACTTCACATATGTATTTTTTGTGACAAGGAAAAAACTAGCTTTATCCTTGGCAATGAATTTTGAATGGTTAGTGCGAGGACTTCCATACTTCACAAATGTATTCTTAGTGACAAGGCCAGGCCTCCATTGGAAACCAACAACTTTGACTTTTTGACCTTTGAGATTGATGTACTTTTAAAAAACTTAAACCTTGGTCATAACTTTTGAACGGTAAGGGCTAGGGCTTTCATACTTCCCATATGTAATCTTTGTGACAAAGCATTTCTTTAGAAACCACAACCTTGACCTTTGACTTTGACCCCAAAGTCTGATCTACCTTTAAAAATACTTTAATCTTGTCGATAACTTTTGAACAGGTGGTGCTGGTGTTTTATATTTTACATTTATATTTCTTGTGAGAAGGCCTGACTTTGGGTATCAATATATTTAAGCTGCATTTGGAAGCTAATTTTACTTTCGCTATGTGGCCATAAGGGGGCATCAGTATTTCTCAGACACATCTTAATTGTTTTGTTAGAGCTTGATCTAGCTGGATATTCAAAAGAATTACATTCTAGAAAACATATTGTATGCTGAGGTGAATTTTCCCCATCTTTTTATGTGTTTGTGTGTGTGCAGAAATTGTGCCTGGGGGTGGGTTAGGGAGGATTCAGTTTGATTTCCAGGGAGATTGAATATATGGACCTGTACATGCAGATTTAAGCTCATCATGAATCAATAGTTTCAACACAATTAAGCAAGCGTCCAACTCATCAGGGATAGTTTATCCATCATCTGTTATTAAAAATACATTAATTGATAGCTTGCATTTTTAGATAGGTTGGGTCATGCTCATGTCCATTTCAACCCAAATAGCATAAATTTCAGCAATTTTAATACATGTATTTGCACTCAGTGTTCATTTGGCTGATTTTTTGCAACATACATGTACAAATGTCCATACTCAGTCATTGAAAATTACATCTGAGACCACCTGTTTATTTTTAGCTCATCTTCACCAAGTGAAGATGAACTTTATGATGCTATAGTCTATACCCCAGGCGTTGGTGTCTGCATTGGTGTCCTTGTTAAAGTTTTAGGAGCAGGTCCATTCCCAATTAAGTTACTATAAATTACCTACCTGGACCATATTTGCATGGATGATGCATCTTGGGATGAAATAAAACTGCTTCAGATGCCGGATCTGACCTAGCTTTTTCAGATGAGTGAATTTTAGCCATACTTTAATCAAATTAACATGGACGAGTTTTTGGTGGGATGAACACTATCCGACTTGCTTTGGATGCTGGACCTGTCCTACATTTTCCAGATGAGAGATCAGGGTATGTTTTGGATTAGCTCTGTAATTTTATGGCCCGTTATGATTAAACCTGTATTGATGATGCATCTAAGGATGGACATTAATTCTTCGGATGTTGGAAATGAAAGAAACATTTTCTTGATTTGTGACCAGGTTCAAGTTGTTCGAGCAAATTCATTTCAAAAAAATTGTAAGTCGTTCTTCAACCAAACTTTATGGATATTGAATTCAGGATGTACACTAAATAAAAAAAAAATATTCGATCTGCATCACTAACACTGATAAAATTCATTGAGGTGACCTTTGTAGTCTTTGATTACCTATGTTTTTACATTTCTTCTTGTGATCCATATGGCAGGCCAGTAGTAATGCTTTGGGGTGGGGGTGCACGGGGATGGGGTTAGGATTATTGAATGTAATAAAGTGGGACACACTTCTATCACACAACATTATGAGGTTAGGATAAACAAGAGATATATTTGTAAAACACTTATGCCCCCCTCCCCCCAAATTGGATTTTTTCTAAGTCCAAAAGGGCATAACTCTGTCTAAAATGGTGCAATCATACCCAAAACAGAACTTGACCTAGATATTCAGCTAAAAAATCTGCATACTAAATTTCATTTCAATATGTGCAACCTCTGCTAAGAAAATGAATGGAAACTGCTAATAAGTGGAATTTTTCTAGGTCCAAGTGGCATAACTCTGTCAAAAAGAGTGCGATCGTACCCAAAACAAAAGATGACCTAGATATTCAGCTGAAAAATCTGTATACTAAATTTCATTTCAATATGTGCAACCTCTGCAAAGAAAATGAATGGAAACTGCTAATAAGTGGAATTTTTCTAACTGCTAATAAGTGGAATTTTTCTAAGTCCAAGGGGCATAACTCTGTCAAAAATAGTCCGATCATAACCAAAACAGAACTTGCCCTAGATATTTCCCTGATAAATCTGTATACCAAATTTCATTTCAGTATGTGCAACAGTTGTGAAGAAAATGAACGGAAACTAAATGGACCGACAGACAGCAACAAAGCAATATGCCCCCCTTCTTCGAAGGGGGGCATAAAAAGACTCTCCCACCTTGTACTATAGGCTGGACTTTTTAAAAATATAGCTTTGGTAGCAAGAACTTTTGAGTCAATGGATGACCTACTTTGAAGGTCATGCTAGCTAAGGTAAATCACAGTCACTCCTCAGTTGTCTTAATTTCTCAATCTCCATAACTGGTGATAAATATGGCATATTACTTGTGAATTTGATTTTTTCAAAAAATGCCTCCATTGAGTAAAAAAAAACATTGTGAAGTGTGGTGTAAAGCAAATTTGCAAGGATAAAGCTACTGGCCATGCAAAATACATCTGTAACAATATTATGAACACAATTTCAATTGTGTCATTTAGCACTCCAACTTTATTTATCATAATAATGTTCTAGCAGTACAACAGAAAAATTCTAACGATCATTCTGTCAAACTTTGTTATATCTCAAAGACCATGTGAGGAAACTGAGATACTAATACTGCACTAGTATCTGAGGATTTGTAATATCAAGGATGTAAAAATAAATGGGGCTTCCAAATCACTTCAACATATCCGTGGTATTTAAGATAGTGTTTGAGATATCAAAGTTCAACTGTTTATGATACATATCTTTTAAAAAAAAATGAAACCTAGTAAAAAGTATATAAATATATATATATTTTTTTTTACAAATCAGTTATTCATTTAATTATTATTTAGTCAAACAAAATCAAAAGGGCTCATGATAATGGTGCTAGTCTATGGAAAACTAGATATGGTAATTGATTGAACCTTATGGGAATGAAAATTCCCCTTACATATAATACTGCTTATTTTCCACTGAAAGCTTATCACAGAGTTTGCATTAAACAAAATATGAAGTTTTCTTCACCTCTATATAATGAGCTCTGACAAATATCTCATTCACAATTTCTTGAATGTTTTACTTTATTGAGAGTGCTGGTATAGAAGAAAATAACACTGGCAGTTAATTACTCTTTAGTATCTTTGGAAGAAGATATGAACACATAGTTTTGCCATGAAACCAATGAACTATAGACCAATTGCACTAAAAATTGGAATTTATTGTTTGCTGAATTTTTGCCTCTTGATTAAAAAAAAATGACTAGATTCCATGAATTCGTAATTATTAAATATAATTACATGTACCATAGTACATATATTAAACAGTCGCCAAATAATTCCAATTCATAAATATCTTGAACAAAAAAAAAATCTTTTTTATTTTAAAATTCAACCTCCCCTCCAAATATAGCTGCCCAAAGGTCTAACATAAACATCCATCAAATTTAATATATGGAGCCCATCTCAATGCATTTCTGTCACTCAATCAACATAAAATAAAACAAATTCTTAACTTTTAAGGTACAGTCAATTATTCATAAAACAAGAAACATACCCATTCTAGATACATGTATGCATGTATATTGTGTGGAAATAACAATAAATTATTTGATTTTTAGTATAAACATATTAATATGAACAATTTCAATTAAAAACCAGGCTGTAGGAGATTCAAATTAATCATCATATACACAGTTTAAGTACATGTACTGTGTTAAAAAACATCCACATAGTCTAGCAATATACTTGGAAACAGATTAGGAGACTAAGGGAAACAAATAAGGAGACTAACATACTTGCTTTTATAAGGCTCTCCTTATTGTGAAAACATTCTAAAAAGTCACCTGTGATTTCATATAAAATCATTATATTATGACATAGGGATTTCATGTGCAGCAGCATATCTGCCATATACGTAATGGAAAAGCTGCCTCTCTATGTCTATTAAGAGCGCACTAGCTCCAAGACGAAAAAGATGAGGAAACAACCATTCATCTCCAAGCTCCTCTTTCATTAGGGAAAGCCATGTGCAAGCATCCTTGGCACTTCTTATTCCCCCTGCAGGTTTGAATCCAACTTTATGCCCAGTTCGCTGGTAGTATTCCCGAATAGCTCTCACCATGACCAGAGCCACTGGCAAAATGGCATTTACTCCTTCTTTTCCTGTGGAGGTCTTGATAAAATCTGCTCCTGCCATCATGCACGCCATGCTTGCTTTGTAAACATTAACCATGGAACCTAACTCCCCCGTGGCTAGGATGGTCTTCATATGGGCCTCTCCACAAGCCTCTCTCATCAGGCGTACCTCATCATACACACCTTTCCAGTTTCCCTCCAAAGCATACTGACGATTGATGACAATGTCAATTTCTTTGGCTCCGTCTGCTACTGCCATTTTGATCTCTTCTAGTCGTGTTTGAAGCGGGACCTGTCCTGTTGGGAATCCTGTTGCTACAGAGGCTACTGGAATATCAGGACGATTGGCAGCTTTGAGAAACCTGACACAATCAGCTACTCGGTTGGGATACACACACACTGCACCAACTGAAATGCCCTCATTTTCCATTTCAACTGCTTTCAAGATGTCCTTCCCCACAGGATTTGCAGCCTTAAAACATAACCTGAAATAAGAACCAAAGGGCAAATTTAATTTCACAGGGTCAACTTTTATATAGTTTTTAAAATGAAAATAAGAGGTATAACATACAGACACATACAACTGCAAAATGAGCGTATAGTATGCTCTAATGCTCTACACCTATTATAGTGACAGTCATCTCAATGGAATAAACATTTACTTGAAGTACCATTGTCAATTACAAGAAGGGTATAGTTAGTGCACTGAACTAAAATCTGGCAAAACTAAAAATAGAGCACCTTGAAACATTTGATGGAGTATCGTCCCCTGCCAAAGTTGTTAAATCAATGCACGTTACTGCACGTAGCAACCATGCTGCTTGCCATTGTTTCTTCACTGTTCTGCGAGTTCCTAAGGACTCTGCCCTGCGCTTCACAGCGGGTAAATTGACATAAATATTGTCAAACCAACTTGGATCAAACACCTGTCCTGGATTTCTGGCCGACATCTCTAGGCTTACTCGGTTCGAAGAAAACTAGACATCGAGTTGTTCTTCTCCAACTATGAATACATGCTGTATATGCTCTCGTTCGTAATCATTAAAAACGTTTATTTATATATACATCAAAAGAGAAAAAAGACTCTTCCAAAAGCCTATTTTATATCATTTTCCCAAATTATCTATGTACGATAGTATTGATATTTAGGAAATTGAACGCACCATGTTCTAGTCGTTGGAGCGTTTGGATTGAATACAACATATAATTGTATATTTAATATGTACAATAACGTTGAGTTGTTTTCTGTCCCCTCTAAAATGCGGCCTGCCTAATTGAAGACCTACAGGTAAATGAAGACCTACGGAAGACCTACGGAAGACCTACGCAAATGCACTCGGAGTTCCTCGGATGACTCGTACCTCGCACATAACCTCGGACGTCAACGGTGATCTACCATCTTGCTGATTCAGTCATGTGATCTTATTTGAATTTCTTTCAAATGTCATACATTTGAAATCGGAGTTATTTTGTGGCACACTCAACAGTTTTTTCTTGCTTTCAAAGCTTACTTACATGAGTTTGTAATCAAACCTGTTTACGATAAATAATTCCACAAATTAAGAAACATTTTCAAAGAACGTTATGCAGAGCGAAATATGAAATGAGTGATAAGGCAGTTTCCGGCGGAGAAATGTAAGGATCTGATGCGTATTCCTCCACCAATCACATCCGAGGTTTGAATGGAGCGGAGCGGAGTCAGCCGAGGATTGCCGATTGACGCAAATGTGTATTATATACATGAAATCTGATATGATAATCTTATTCAGCATGTCTTAAATATCAAATATATCAAAAAAAAAATTTATAAAAATACGTTTTAAACAGTGTTTTTGGAGCTCGGTATGAGGAACTATTTTTTCTCCCAAACGAACTATCGCAAGAACGATAACTCGCGTCGACTTGTAAACAAGAGACCACAGCGATGTTATAACCCAGTATATTTACATTGAATTGACATTGGAATTTTAATGAAAATTATTTCAAATATTATTCAACATTATTTCATATATTTAAATGTATAAGAGTGCATTTATAATTATATATATTTTATTTTTTCTGATTATTAACAAAAAAAAATTTTTTTTAAATATATAAACAATTTTTAACATTTTATTACTTTATGTGTATAAAGTTTTTTTTTAATTGTTAAAATTATTATTTTTTATAACTGGATTATCACTTTGAAGGATTATTGGATTAAATATCACAATACCAACAAACACCAAGAGATATTGGAGGATGTCCATGTTTTGATAACAATTAACACAAGACCCACTCAGCCTGTGTGTGTTTATTTAGAGTCAACAGTGGTTTCTTAAATACAATACCAATGTTTCATTCTGCTTGGCTAGCAATGACAAATGAGCAACGCACCAAATTTTTAGTTAAATTTTTTAAATACCAAAACCAGTCAAAACTTCAAACTTCAGGCGATGCTCTTTTGACAATTCCAACCACCAACCGTATCGCCAAAAAACCTGGTCAAATCAAAAGAGTAAGAACAGCAAAAACTTTAACCATTCCTAATAAGAAACCAAAGTACCCAGGGGGAGACTGCTAGGTTAGGTAGGATTTCAGATGAGGAACAGATATAGATATGCAAACCAGTTATTAATTTTTTTTTTGATTTTATAATTTTTTTTTTGATCATTTCTGGCCTTCTTACCTCCTCCGCTTGACGGTTGTGCAGGTAGATGTGTTAGTTTAAATGACAATTATTTCTAACCATCTGAATCTCCTCCGCTTGACGGCTGTGTAGAGAGATGTGTTAGCTCTTTTTCCTTTTTCATATGTTGTACATAGGCATGCCAAAATATATATGTTAAATTATTATTTAAGAAAAAAATTCAAAAAAAAAAAACAAAAACAAAAAAAAAAATAAATAAAAGGATCCTGTAAAGAACCACGTCCACGTCGTAGGATCTGGAAACATAGTTATGAATTCAAGAAATATAAAAATTAATAAAAATTAATCAGAAATGGAGAAATATTGAGTTCACAACTATGGCTAAGAGTTCTTTTATTTACAATATATTACAGTAATGTAATTCATTTTTAATTTAATTTAAAAAATTATTACTATCAATTCATAAATTATAATTTTCTACAATTAGTGCTCTATTTTTATTTTTTTTTATTATAATATATTCAAGAAAAAAAATTCATCTTCTATGAAAAAAACAAAAACAAATAGGAAATATTCTTTGGCTGATTTTGTACATTGACACTTCAACAAGAGTTGTCTTTCTTGCGCTAGTTCGTTTGGGAGAAAAAATAGTTCCTCATACCGAGCTCCAAAAACACTGTTTAAAACGTATTTTTATGTAATATTTTTAGATATATTTTATATTTAAGACATGCTGAATAAGATTATCATATCAGATTTCATATATATATCCCCAATTTTTGTAGGTCTTCCGTAGGTCTTCCGTAGGTCTTCATTACCGTCTTCCTTGGAAGACGGTATTGTATAGTTGAAGTTTTTTACAGTCTTCGGACTATGCACTTCCTCTCTTTTGTGATTGGTAGAAATTGCATGATGAGAAAATTTTCAATTATTTCATTGGTTGAAATGCTGTTCACGGCAAGGGAGATAACTTTCTGATGATCTATTTTTCGTACGACTTAACAATTTTGCAAGATTTCCAATCTTAAAAAAATGACAAAACGAACAACAAAATCAGCAGTAATTATTTCTCAATAGCATGATATTTTTTATAGCAATAAATAAAAAGGTCTTTTTAATTTCATTATAAATAAAATTTGATAGTTATTGCTTGCAAGTTTTACAATTTGTTATCATTCATTTTCCCATTCTTGTTTGAAGAGTGAATGGGAATCAGCCGAGGTTTGACGAAAGCTCTCGGCCAGTCAAAGTTTACGGAGATGACCGAGCGACAACCGTGGTAGGGCTAATGCCCGTAAAAAGCTAATTTAGAAATACAAAATCAAGAAATTCAAAAGAATTATACGGCCTGTTAAGTATAGATCTGTTTACTGCTTTAAAATTGTTGCTAAAGACGGTAAGCTTTTTTGAAAAGCTCTACTTGTTTACCTGTAGGTCTTCAAATAGGCATTCCCCTAAAATGTCATTTTCGCTGTAAAGAAATTTAAAAATGCAGACATTTCGGACTCTGAACTTGCTTCGGAAGACTAGTCACACCATTTCACGTCTTTGTCCAGCAAGGTATGTTTCTGCAATCATAATATACAGCGTCATCGTTGGTAATTTATAAAATTACGCCTCAGTAGAGTTGAAAAAAAAACCCAGATGATGTAACCAAGTGTTATGTAAAAAGCTATACCTTACAAGCTCCCACAACAACAAAATGAAGTCATCAGAAACTTTTTATAGCTCTCATAAATGATCAAATTTCAGTCAAAAGACATGGTGTGATAAAAGAGCTTTCCATCTTGGAATGAAAAAGATGACAAATGATGCAGAGATGATAAAACTCAGTGATTCGTGTGTAAAGGTATTAATATGTAAGACAGTGTGACTGTAAGTGAGGGCAGAACCATCAAAATAGCTTTTCCTATTTCATTGTTTAAAAACTTTAATGATTAATCCCTGATAAATCAGTCATTCTGAAGGTATTATCAACAGGTTGGGACCACTCGCCCAAATGGGATATAATAGTCCGTTTGGGATATAATATCCCAAATGGGCTATAAATTTACAGTGCAAAAAATGAAAATTTTTATTTTGGCTATAAATATCATAAATCCGCATCAGGACACTTATAAAGGAATAAACTTTTGTTTGACAAGTTTTTCTGCATGTCCATTGTTTAGGAGATTGATCCCTCAGAAGTTCCATAACTTCTTGGGGATCAATCTTACAAACTGTAGGGTTGCAGAAAAACTTGCTTACCAAAAGTTATTCCTTTTTAAGTGTCCTGATGCGGATTTATGATATTTATAGCCAAAATAAAAATTTTAAATTTTTGCACTGTAAATTTATAGCCCATTTGGGATATTATATCCCAAACGGACTATTATATCCCATTTGGGTGAGTGGTCCCAACCTGATCAATGGTATTGTAATGGTTTGGGCCGTGGATATCGGTGTGGATAGCTCAGTTGGTAGAGCACCTGACTAGAGATGCAGGGGTCCCGGGTTCATTTCGTCTTTCGCCTTTCCTGTTACAGATTTGGGGCCATTGACCACCCCTGGAATTGCAGGTGAAAGTCCTGCCAGGGGATAATAGAACTTGGGTTGTGTCTTCCAGGGTGAAGACCATTAATGGAGGGAGGAATGTTATGGTTTGGGCTGTGGATAGCTCAGTTGGTAGAGCACCTGACTGGAGATGCAGGGGTCCTGGGTTCCATTCCTGGTCCAGCCATACATTTTCTCCTTTCCTGTTACAGTATCACAGAGAGTCTTGGACCTGATATCATTTTAAACCTTTTATATATGTAATAGCAAAGAAGAAAAAAGGGATCCCTGCATGACACTAGTCAAGTGCTCAACTAACTGAGCTACTCAGGCTGATATCCACAGACAAAATCATTAAATTCCTCCTTCCTTATATTGTTTTCACTATTGAAGACACAACACAAGTTCTTATTGGCCAAGACACGACTTTCTCCTGCAACTCCAGGAATGGTCAACCACACCAAATTTGTACCAAGGAAAGGAAAATTAATGAAATGGTCATGGACCAGACCAGGATTTGAACTGGGCTCCCTGAATCTTAATTGAGATGGTCTACCAACTGGCCTCTATAGCAAACGATGATCAAACCTGTTTGACCACCACATAAACATGTACTGATTCCAGAACTTTTATCCTTTATTTAGAGATTGAAAGAGATTGCTGATGAGAACTCTTACTTGAGAGTACTAGTGGATGGTGGGGGCTGCTCAGGATTTCAGTACAAATTTGATATCGAATCAAAAATCCATGATAATGACAAGTAAGTTGCTACTGTGCACTAGTATTATACTGCTGTCAAAATAGAACTTTTTGACTTTCTTTCAAATGACATAATCATATTTTCAAAAAAATTGCAAATTTTCTAAGTCCAAGGAGCATAGCTCCGTCCAGAATGGCTCGATCATATCTAAAACTGCACTTGACCTAGATATTCATATGATAAATCTGTATACCAAATTTCATTTTAATATGTGCAACCTCTGCAAAGAAAATGCACAGAAACTGCTAAAAATTGGAAATTTTTTAAGTCCAAGGGGCATAACTCTGTCCAAAATGGATCGATCGTACCCAAAACATTAGTTGATATTCTTATGATAAATCTGTATACCAAATTTCATTTAAGTATGTGCAACCACTGTCAAGTAAATAAATGGAAACTTGGTGGACTGGCAGACAGACAGCAGCAAAGCAATATGCTCTCCCTTCTTTGAAAGGGGGGGGGATAAATATCAGCACATAAATTCAATGTAATTATGAAAACAATGAAAATTAAACCCCAGGGAAACAGTGATTTCACAGAATTCAAAGAATGTTATTAGTATATTTTAAAAGGATTAGAAACATTTCACAAAAGGCACCAAGTTCACTAAGCCCTTATTTCCTGACAATTGAAAAAGACCTGGGGCGCTTATGGGGGTAGGGGCGGTTAATAGGGATTATAAGGTTACTGTACGTGTACATAATTTGGCATATTCATTCATTTGGATCATTCTTTGATCTTTGTTTTCAGAGTTTATGAAAAAGATGGTGTTAAAATTGCCATTGATAAAGACTCTTTGGAATTTCTGAAAGGATCTACCATTGACTATCATGAAGAACTCATTCGGAGTGCATTTAGAGTTATCAATAATCCCCAAGCTGAACAGGGATGTTCTTGTGGTGTTTCATTTTCAATCAAGTGAAGAAAACAAATCAACAGTCTCCAGAAAAAAGATTGCAATTTTCAATTGTATGTAGACAAATATACATGTAGATACACTTTATTTATTGAAATAATATTCTACTTTTAGGAGAAATTGAATTCCTAAGGTATTTGTGGATAAATAACAGGGTCTTCTTGTCCAAAGAAGAAAAAGAATCACAGGAGAAACTTACTGGTACATGTACTTTCTCTTGGTATCTTTACTAGAAGGCTTGAATCTGTGATTAAAAAAAAAACTTGGATGAGGTTCCCTTATTTAGAATGTAAAAATGATATGCTTTATTTCTTGCATGAATGATAGAATTTTCAGTTTGAAAGATGTATATGAGAATGTTCATGATTTGCTTGTTTTGTTTCAAATAAAAAATTAATATGGTCCTTATTTTGGAGTTTATATTACCAAAATAATCTAGCTTTTCCTCCATAGGTAATTCACCTAGTACCAGGAATAACATTTCTAGAATACTAGTAGTTCAAATTCAAAATAACAGGAAGACTAATATGTTTAGTTACCAAAACAACAAATACAACAGATAGAAAGGCATTAATTAATGGTCACCTTAAAATATAATACAATGAATCCAAAAAAGTTAAAAATAATACAAAGTCTGATTATTGCCCCATAGAAATACAATGATCAGGGCAGTAAGTTCAATACTCAATCATTCAGTAAATCATATTTACTTGCCTTTACTTGGCAGTATCAATACCCTTCCATCTGACATAATGCTCACACAGATTTAGTGATTAAATATCATAAATGGATAAAAAAGGAGGATAAATTCTTAGCAGAATACAAAATTTCCTCACAAGCTAAATGAGCTTTGACATGACAGTTAACCCTGTCCTCCAGAATTTCACAAATCTGTTTTAAAAAAATTCCCCTTCTCATTACCACCTTGCTTTTTGTTTGTCTTGTTTGCATTCAAGATACATGTACTCAGGAGCAGTGGAGAACATTTTCAAAGCATTTTAAAATGCATTAGTATTGGGAGGGGGATTGAGAAAATTTTCACTACTGTAAAATTATTTCAATTGTAGAGGTCAATATGTGTTGGCATGTAAAATTTTGTTGGTTTGTGGAGATATTTTATTGGTAGCTCATACATATATACAGAAGATACATTTGCATCAAAAGTTATTATCTCTAAACTGAACACCAATCCTTCTGTGGTCCTATTTTAAATGCAACACATAGAATGAAAAAGTTAACAAATCATCAAAGCATGTATTTATTGAACTGTCAATCTAGACAAAACAGAATGAATTATTGAGGAATCTGGTTAGAGTCACTGGTGTCTTCTTATCCTATATAAAAAAAAAAAAATTACTTAGTATCTTAAAAGCAAACATTTGTATAACACGTTCTACATTACATAGATACATGTACATGAAGTTTTTATGAAACTTTGGATCCCACTAAAATTTTATGAAACTTTGGATCCCACTAAAATTTTATGAAAATTTGGATCTCACTAAAATTGTATTAATCCTCAAATGTAATTTTCATGCATATGAATTTTTAGAATTTAACAACAGTGTACCTCAGGCACACTGTATATGGCAATGTTTACAAACTAGTAATTAATTCAACTTCAAGTCGGTAAAAGGGCTTTAAAGCTCATGTTTTTTGTTATATGTACAGTGTTCATAGTCTGGTTATAAATGAAATTTACGATAATTACTTTTAACAAAACTGTAAACAGTGAGCTTACCATTGTTATTTGGTTGTATCTGTCACTCAGTTGAGATATGGCATCAGCACTTAAACAGACTGGTTTTTGCTCCAATATCAGGTGAACCTTAAGTAGTAATTCAACTGTAGTTCTAAAGTTAGCAGGCTCACAGAGGTCACTGATAACTGACGTATCTAAAGAAAAAAAAAATTATGATAAGTCACAATACCATCTAAGTATTTATATACCATTCTTTTTAGAAATGAAAATTAAAGTGTAAATGTAAATCAAGAACATTTGGTGCAATCTTCAGTTTGCACTCTCATATTTTATGTTAATAATACTTAGCAAAGTAATATTAACATTAATTAACACACTAAATGCCATGTCAATGATAAATATACTAACACATGTCTGAATCTTAATAATATATGTAAAAAAAATCTGTATCTTGAATAAGGAAACTGATAATGCAAAAGGTATATAGGCTCAGATCTACAGATTAAATATTTTTGCAATATACACAAAATGAATTATCAAACAAGGGCACTGCAAAAGATCTCACAAAGAACATATCTAAAAATCAAGGCAGCGTTCAACATCTTTCCTGATGCAAATTACATCACTTCCATTTCACACAAAGGACAAACTAACTAACCCACCTACACACACAAACACACAAAGGATTCAAAGATGTTTTTATATCCTTTTCATATCTGATGGGAGGGGATAATAGTTGTCTCTCATAACAAATACAAACATACCTAGTATTTTAAGATGTTCCTGAACAAATTTAAGGTCCTGTATCAAGTCCTGAACTTGGATCTCCTCTGGTGTAAAGGAATGTGTTACATCATTGGTGTTGCTCAATGCCAACATTATCTGAATGAGAAAAATAACATTTCAGTGCCTGAAGTATAAGTAATAGGTAGTTACAAAAAGAGAAATAAATTTCTACACCTATACCTGTAACATTTGGTATAAATGAGCGGAACTGAAGATGGCCTCTGAGAAGAAACTGTTGTCCTCTGCTTCATACAACTGTTTACTAAAATCAGATGGCAAAATAAAGCATTGAATTATAACTGCAGAATCATTTAATTCATGGGGCGTCAATGTTTGTGACCAACGAAAATTTTACTGGTTTGTGGGGACACACATGTAATTTCATGGATGATTCAATGAAACAATATATTGACAAAGTTATTGTTTGTGGGAATGTAAATTCACAGGTAAAAGTGACCCACAAACTTTCTTCTTCAAGGGACAATAATGATTATAGTGATTAAATTTGAATTTTTTTTTTACATTTAAAAAGAATTATCAATCATCACAGTAAATATAACCCTATAATAACTATATACTATAGATTCCAAGCCATGGAGAATATTTGAAATGGTAAGGAAGGATATTTGATAACTCTCTCTCTTTTTTTGTTTTGTCATTTCAGTGGATTAAATTTGATATGTACATTTTTGAGTTATCAAATTTGATATTTCAACAAATACAAAATTGAATAACCATGTGAAAGATTAGGCTTATTTTTCAGGATTCTAAACTTCTTATCTTATTTATGGGCTGGTTTTCCTAAGAGTGCCATACTTTACCTTTTACAAGATTTCAAAAATATCTGCTGAACACTGTTTGGATGATACAGCTTTTGAAAGATCTCTTTTACAACTAATGTTGACCACCAGAAATGCCCACTGAAGTAACTTATCCATTCCTGTAAGTATAAAAATTCTGATAATTTTGAGTGTGATGAATGCAACATTAACATAATATATTTACATGTAATTCAAAGCTGAATTGAATCTACCCTACCAATCTGATCAGGGATGGACTCAATGTGTCCTTCAAATATTTAAAGCTGTATATACATGAATTTAATAAAACTTTTAATGTACAAGTAAGAGTAATTTACACTTTGTGGTTTTCATATCAGAGTAATCCAAATGAGTTTGATTTTGATAAAATTAACTCTAACTTGCCTGTAAGCATGTATTGCACTGCAAAGATCCATACTGCAAAAGATAACAAATTGAATATATTTGAAGTTTTCATAATAGATCTCCATCTGATAGAAAATTTATACAGATCATAATTTATACTAGTAAATCATCTTTACAGTACCTCATTAAATTCCTGAGAGAGTGAGGCGATGAATTTAGTAGCATGTCCCCTGACATCAGGATCGTCATCTTGTACAAGATTCCAGACAAAGAAAAACAACCTTAATGTAAAGAAAAATAAATAATTATCACTTAGCAGCAGCAGAAACAGTCTAAGTGTTCTGTTACAATTTCTTAAGTGATATTTTTTAAGTCCAATTATCCATGGGAAAAAATTAAAGATCTAAATAATTTTGAATAATGCTTGAGAAATGACCCAACCAATTGACAAGATGTACTTTAATTCCACTATAAAGTTTATATATATCCAAAATATTATGATTTCCAAATTAACGGTAACTGTGGCCCTGCATAAAAAAAAATACTGCCTGGTAACATTAACTTTTTCATAAAACATCTTTTTTATACCCCCCTCTTGAAAAGTGGGAGGGTATATAGTAATCTGTATTTCCGTACGTCTGTACATCCGTCCGTCCGTCTGTTACGCTTTGGGGTACCCATCTCTTATCTGCAACTCCTCTTATACTACTGAGTGAAATTTAATGAAACTTTCACAAAATCTTTATTACATATTGCCATTGTGCACCTCCTATTTTACTTTTTTATTCGACACGTATTTTAGGTTTCCCATAGCAAAACATGGACATTGCCATTATATCCTTACCTACGATGCTTCTGGATAACATTTGATAAAGAGTTATTCCTCTTTACACATTACCGTAAAACAATATATAGCAAAACATGGACATTATGGGAGGCGGGGGGTATCATTAAGTGTGCTCATTGCTCACAGTACCTCTAGTTTGTATGTACATGTATAACCAACTAAGGAGTCATCCCCATTCCCAATCAACAAACAATAACCCAACCTATACACAGCAAAAGAACAAAATAAAGTGCCGCGCCACAGCATAATACGCCCGTCAAAAACTTAAAATTTTCTTGAACAGTTTAGGTGCAAGAAAGTCACATCAACCTTGGTTCTAATATTTTGATGATTTTTCCATTCCTTAAAATATTTATCCATCCCCTGTGATGTAGGCATAAATTATAATAAATATTACATCACTGATAGATTTCTGTGCTGGTTGTGTTAGACCTTGTCAAATGCCCATCATATTAAACAATATCAAATTAGTCTTAACAATTTAATCTATACCAAATTAATTTTGAAAAGAAAAGGCTGGCCATCAAATGACATGTTATAAACTGACCAGCAGTTCTTCTGTCTAATCCCCAAAGGGTACAGATAAGACTGCTTGATCAGATAGCCTTCCTACATTGAACTCATTAATTAATCTTAACTGGATGCTTGTCTACTCATTACTACCAAGAGATGAATGGGTCTGCACTATCTACCATACTTTTTTTTTTGAAAACATAAAATACTCAAATATTTTTTTTTTGGTTGAGATTTAATGTCCAACAGGTTTTAATATAATTTATATAGACATGCTGATTCCACCCCACCCAATAAAATTAGTTTTTAAATTAATAATATTACATAATATCAGATTAGTCTATTATGCAAAATCAAATTAGTTTTAATTACTTTTCATCAAATTCATTTTAAAACTTAAGCTAGCCAACAAGAGCTATTTTTAATCAAACAGGCTTACCCATTTGCCCAATACTCAAGGGATACAGATAACACCAATGCCCTGTCAATTAGCTCCTCACACTCAAAACCCATTAATTTCTCTCTAATTTGACATGCAATTTTCTGTTATCAAAATTCTTCTTGACCAGTGCTTGATAATTACACTCATGGGAGAGGTAGAATTTCTCTAACATACATTATATTTGTTATAGATTGCTGTCAAGTATATGCTTAAAAAAATAAGTATTTTCTTGATTTAACACTTTTTTAATAGGGACAGTGCAATACTCTTACATTATTTGGGATGTGTAAATGAATAGTAAAAAGACACATTTTTTTTTAAAAATTCATTTAAATTAAAGGTCACAGTGACCTTGAAATAGGTCGCGACACTTTCTACCTAAGATGCATAAACTGGCCAAGTTTGATGATTGTAAGTCTTATAGTTTTCTAGTTATGGGCCAGAAAGGATTTTTCCATATTTGGCTATAACTTCTTAATTAAAGGTCAGAGCGACCTACTTTTTGTGAGCGACACACCTTCTACCCAAGATGCATCAGATGACAAAGTTTGATAATCCTAGGCCTAGTAGTATTAAAGTTATGAGCCGGAAACGAAAAAGCTAACAGACGGACGGACACAAAGCCTATAACATAATACGTCCCGTCTTAAGACGGGCGTATAAAAACTTACTTTAACAAGGAAGACATGAGTGTATCTCCTTTCTGCTGGAGGCATAATCTTAGTACACTTTTTCCAATAATCGACAGACCGTGACATACAGCCAGCTTACACTGGTCACTACTGCTGCTGATGTGATACATAACATCACAGATTACTAGTATGTCTTCTTCAGCAACCACACTGAAAGTTATAACACTGTCTTAATATTTCAAATAATTTTCATCTTAGGTTACAGAAGGAATGAAATTTACTTTAATTTGTAAGCAACAGTCTGTTTTATTACATGTGCTGATGGACAGTATATTAAAGACAACATACTGTATACTTGGAAATTTTTGCCCTACAAACAGGTAGGCGAATTTAAAACGGGGCAATTTAAAATACACAGTATGATTTCTTCAGCGGAATTGTGATTTGGCAAATTTAAAACAGGGCAAAACTGTTTTCAAGTTTGAAAAAAACACAGGCGAAAACATTCCTATATACAGTAGCTACTTTATGCGTTTCACCCTTGATAACATCTGTCCAAATTTTTACTTGGTAGATCTAGCCCCCCCCCCAAAAAAAAAAAAAAACAAAAAAAAACAAACAAACAAAAAAAGCTAACATTGCTCCCTAATTGCTTGATTTAGAATAATTTTGATGTAATATTCAATGTCAGTATGATTTACTCACGTTCACTTTTTAAAGGAGTATTTTTAAGACTCAGAATGAATGGAAGGAGAGGTTTGCCACAGTTATTTTTACAGTAAAAAAAAAATCTGTGGAAATACCAATTTCATTCAGTGGATAAATTACATTAATTCACAGTTGAAATATAATTCAATTTTATTTTCAAAATAATGAAATGATTTCTTTCTAATAATCTATACATACTTTTCTTTCTCAAAACTTGCATCCAGGTAAACACATCCCAATTCCAAAGCAGCTGATGCCAGAATCCCCCTGTTGTACACTCTGCCTTTGTAAACCTGCCATGCCTCTTTCAAAAGCTGCAGATCTGATTGTCTTATTGTTCTATATCTCATGTACTGTTCAGTCATGCATGAAACCAGAGCACTCACTAAAGGGGGATAACTTCCTGCTAGTATACACTTCAGTTGTTCTTGAAGTAGATCTTGGGACATTTCAGATGTTCTGTCCTCTCTAGCGATGTCAGTTAAATATTCCATCAAGAAAAATTTCACATCTGCATCTATTTTCTGCATAGTGAGCATCTTCAGACAGATAGACTGGCATCCAAGTTGCAATAAACAAGCAATGCAGGCTTTCTGTGTCAGTGGCTTCAGAAAATACAATTAAATAAATCAAGAAATTTGGAAAAGAAAATCAAACACAATTGCAAGAACTTAAAAATAAAACCCACAAGCTAACAGCAAGTGTATAATTCTACAATTTTATAATTCAACATTTATTCCAGTTATTTTTATGGACTATTTTGTACTAACATGAATAAATATTTTTGTGGGATTTGGGGGGTGTAAGATGCATCAAATGAAAAATAAACCTAAATACACGTAAACCATAAGACAATACCATAGATATGTTTTGCTCTTTCCTCTCTGTATCTGAGGAGAATTTTGTCACTGTTTCCAGTAGTTCATCTCTAGTCATCAGTTTTTCTTTGTCTACCAGACAACACAGCATCCTTATATACTGAGCTGACACTATGTCTGGTAACATGATCACAGCACTGGCAGTGTTTAAAAGTGCTCCCATAACATCCTCTGGTATTCTATAATTCAAAATATTATGATTAGAACTGATTCTATATTTCTTAATAGTCAATGACAGTAAATAAACCAGTACTGATTCACCATTTTAAATTCAACTGAGAGATTGTAGGTTTTTTTTTTCTTCAGCAAAAGAGAAAATAATATCTTTATTTATGGCAAAATCATCTAATGTCATTTTTACATGATAAAATATTTTAAATGTAATTACTCTTTGCAACTGTTTATCAACATTTCTATGGATACCAGGGCACCATGGACGAAGTTGCTGTCAGATGCTGGTGAAATTTCTGATATCAACTCTCTGATGGTCTTCAATGTCTTCTTCAGTGGAACCAGCGACACAAAGGCAGCAGAGGAGAGCTGTCTCAGGAAATACACAGGGCTCCTCAGGAGTGTCCTCACCAGGTTCCTCAGAGGGAGGACCTCACTAAAACAGAATACCAGAAATTAGGTCAAACACTGAGAATCTAGTACATGTAAATAACATGTTAACAAAGAAAGCTCAAGGTTAAAATATCAGTGATCCATGTGAATGAAATCATGTAGGTATGGTTACAAATTGTTTACTAAATACAGAATTCTTACATTAAATGTAAAATTTCCACTCTCCATAAACATTAAAGTTTAAATATTTTTTGTTAATTACTTTGATTCATCTTCTTGGTCAAGTCTTCCCATATGTGAAAGAATAGTTAAAACAGGAAAGAGAGAGGGATGTAAGGAATCAATGGCAGATATATCCCTTTGTAGTGCACTCTCCAAACTCTGAAGAAGATAAGGAATTAACTCGGGGTAATGGGCAGATAACTCTGGAAGAGATTTTGTATTACAGGCCTGCATTCCAACAATCTTCTTTTGTCCAAAAAGTCTGGTTATCAAAACACCTGAAAAATAGATATAAAAATTAGAATGTAACATTTTGTATGATGATAACCAGATCAGTACTACCATTGTAATTTATCACAGTTCAGACTTATCTGCAGGCATGCAGCATCAAACATAAGTCTTTTGCTTCACTAAAACTCAATTAATTTATTTTTAAGGAATATTGGCAATAACAATATACTACACATGTCCGTTTGGGCAGCAATTCCTTTATTCTTACAATTTGCATGGCAACAAAAAAGCAAATCAGTAAATAAAAGACAACCCATACTAAATAATCTTGTAGCTGCATTTCTAATTGCCCATGCTGGTGAACCAAATTGCTCAACAACAAGCATCACTGCTTTTTCAATGAACTGCATCAAGGCCTCATGGAGGCTTGAATCTCCATATAAACATTTAAGGATGTTCAATGCATGAACTTGAGGTAGATCATGTCTGTCATCCACGACTCCTTCTAATGGTAACTCTGCCATAATGAATAACTGATCCAGTGCTATCTTCATCAATTCATTCTGTAATAGTTACAATGTCTAATCACTATTTTTTTTCTTCAGAGAATGTATAGTTTTGAAACTGATTAAGAGTATTATGAATATATGTAGGTATCTCAAAGTCCTATGATTTGAATAGTTAATTTAAATTTATATCAAGGCCAAGTTCACCTTTTTGTTTCGGTGTTCACATGAGATAATACACTGAACTACCACTGGCAGACCGGCTGACTTTCTGGTAGTTGATGTGGAGGCAGCTTTTGACTGAAGACTCTCCAATGACTATAACATAAAATGTGTCAAAATACATGTATGGAGAAAATTCAAGATGTACAAGAATAAACTTCAATAATTTTGTTTGTGTCATGTAATTTTTAAAATAGATATTTTCCCAAAAAAAAACCTCTCTTACACATCAAATGACTGGCACTAGTAATTCCAAGGAGTAGAATATTGTATTATAGATAATGCTAGCTGCTCAATTTTCTCTCTTAACCCTTCAAAGGTAGTGTTTAAATTCACAATTAGAGTATATATGTACCTTGAGTAGAATAGACTGTGGAATGCATAATAATTCTTTGTTGTTTGATTCAAACAGAGCTGAACAAAACATTGTGAAAGCTGTTCTGCATCCTTCAATCACACCCTATATGAGAAAACATACATACCAAACCTAAGTGTAAATAATAACAGACAACTTGCTCTCCTTGTATAGAATTCAATAGGATCTACATTGTCATGAAATTTTTAATTAGAAATCTCACTTATAATTTTACTGAACTTATGCTTTATTTTACTTCAAATTTTCTTACTCTGTGCCTGCACTGTGTAAGAACTTTCATAAAGGTATCGCCCACTGATCTGATAACTGTGACTTCCAACTCCATCATTTCAGAATTTTTTATCAAGACTCCTGACAAATGTCCAAGACTGAGACAACTTTCCTGTAAAATAACAGTGATTACAATAAAACGAAAGTACAGTATTGAGTAAATATAATGATTAAGGCTACTTCATGCATTTTAAATGTGACATACTTTTGCATCAAAGAATTAGGGTAAATTACCTTAATATTGACCCAGCACCAGGATAACAAGTACTGGTGTTCTCCGGAGAGAGCCTCGCTTTGACAGTAATCCTCCTCACTGTCTACAATCAAACTCTCTAAAGCCTGGCCTATCTCAGCAAAGGAAGGACAGCCCTCGGACTCCGAGCCTTGGGCCATGATGTTTAGCATTGTTTGGATAATCTGGGTATTTAGTTGAACCAAACGTAGGTAATGCTGTGTGAGACTTTGTAAGTTCCTCTGTTGCAGTGATTCTAAACATTCTGTCAAACATCTTGTAACTGCTGTCACATATCCTGTAAAATAATTGTTACAGCATACAAAATTCAGTAAAGTACCAGTATGAATACACAATAGACATCTGATTTACATAGAACACTAGAAACTCATTTTGTGATTATTCAGTACTTTGGATATATGAATACGTTATATCGCGACTACCAATGAGTACCTCGCAGTTATCTAACTTACTACCGCTCTTTTGCGGGGGAGTGGAGAAAAGTCTAAATTTCTGGGGGCAAATGACATTGTTTACAGTAGTGACAATCGAATGATTCGAACAATTTAATGCCGAAATCACGATGTTTTGCCAGATACTGAACTCCAAATAGTAGATTGTCAAATAAGGAAAGTTAAGAATATTTAATCTGCTTAAAAATGTGACGATCTTCAATGAAAATTTAACAAGAAGAGTCAGCTTAATTAAAATTATCGTTAAAAATGTGACAATTTAGGATTGGCTCATCTCAAAAATATATTAGGCTGGTTCAGTGATTGTTTAGCGAGGTATTCCACGAGGATTTTTTACTTATCTGTCCTTATAAATGCTACAATAATCGATCTTGCATTGTATTCAATAGCACATTGCCCCCACCCAACAGACGATTCCTACCTCCTTCGCGAAAGAGTTCCGCTAAGTTAAGTAATCGCGATATCAAGTATTAATTCATTTTGTTAATGAACACTTCTATCAGAGCATTGCAAACAAGATTTCTAAGAATTACTAATAATCTTCATTATTGACTTTGTAACTCAAAATCCATGGATCCTAGTAGTGAATCAGCGACCAACTTAATTATTCAAAAAAATTTAAATCATGGCTGTACAAAGTGATTGGAGTGGGGCATAATGTTTGTAAAACAAATCCTTCCAATATTACTCAAGAATTCAGAAAATAACTGAATTGTAACTCCTGATGAATACAAGAGGCCCATGGGCCACATCGCTCACCTGAGAAACTTTGGCCATGCTGTTCTTTATCAGATTTCCCCCCTTTGTAATAGCAATTGTGACCAAGCCCTATCCCCAGGGGTAATGATTTCGAAAATTTAGAATCTACACTACCCCAAGATTCACGTACGTTTCAGCTTTTCTGGCCCAATGTTTCTTGAGAAGAAGATTTTCAAAGATTTTTCCATATATATTTCAATGTAAAACTTGGATTCCCCATTATGGCCCGCCCTAGCCCCAGGGGTCATGATTTTGACAATTTAGAATCTACATTATTCCAGGATCCTTCCACATAAGTTTCAGCTTTTCTGGCTCAGTGGTTCTTGAGAAGAAGATTTTTAAAGTTTTTTCCTATATGTTTCAATGTAAAAAGTGGATTCCCTATTGTGGCCCCTCCTTACCCCGGGGGGTCATGATTTGGACAATTTAAAATCTACATTATTCCAGGATCCTTCCACATAAGTTTCAGCTTTTCTGGCCCAGTGGTTCTTGAGAAGAAGATTTTTAGAGTTTTTTTCCCTATATATTTCTATGTAAAACTTGGATTCCCTATTGTGGCCCCGCCCTACTCCTGGGGGTCATGATTTGAACAATTTAGAATATACACTACCCCAAGATGCTTCCACACAAGTTTCAGCTTTTCTGGCCCAGTGGTTCTTGAGAAGGATTTTTTAATGACCCCATCCTATTTTTGTCTTTTCTTGATTATCTCCCCTTGTAAAGGGACTTGGCCCTTGTTTTTAATAATTTAAACTCCCTTTACCCAAGGATGTTTTGTACCAAGTTTGACTAAAATTGGCCCAGTGGTTTTTGAGAAGAAGTCGAAAATGTGAAAAGTTTACAGATGGACGGACAGACAGACGTACAGACTGACGGACGACGGACAAATTGTGATCAGAAAAGCTCACTTGAGCCTTCAGCTCAGGTGAGCTAAAAAAGATACAAAGATATGCTTTCCATGTCTAACTCATACCGTGTATTGGTGATGACTTGGAAGCCTTTACAGGTGCATTCTGGGATTTGTCCAGCATTCCCTGGATTTCCTGTAGCATGTGTTGGAGGAAGACTTGAACTGGATCTCCTGTTGCTGAAGGCAAGTCACGTTTACATTGGCCAGACTGTATGATAAAACACCATCCATTCTCTGTTACACACCTGAAATTAGGCAATAAGATCCATAACTTTCGTTTGGAAATTTTTATATAAAATTATAATTTACTATACCGGTATTTATATTTCAAAGTCAAAAAAAGGTTAATAAACTTATTAATGCCAGCAGCAAAATCTGTATTCATAAAAAGCAAATATTAATATCCATGTACTCTTAATATTCTTTTCATTATTAGAGATGAAGTGTAAGATATCTGAGATTTGAATAATTCCATTTTTAATTCACAGCAACATTATGCACTGATATCGAAATTCAATTTCTCATAAGGAACCCCCCCCCCCCCCCCCAAAAAAAATAATATTAAATAGAGTTACTTTTTGAAGATGAGTTTCAACAATAGAGCCCCACTCTGGCTCTGGTAAGGTTTAGGACTGTTACACAACCGTAGTGCCTCTGTCAACAAATGACATTCCAGCTTGCTCTCTGCACCATCTCCAGAGGGACCCGGACTGCCCTCTAGTGGCCACGTGTAATACTCCAACAACAAACTGCAAGCCAACTCTTGAATCTGTCAAAGAAAGACAACAAATCAACTGAATCCTAATACATATTAAAAAGGATTTGTCAAGAAATGATAATACCGGTACATGTATAGGTTTCAAATTGTTCATTATAGAATAAATATTCCGTAGAAAGACATCAAAAAAGTTTATCAATAATAAGTCTCACAAGAATGATCAATTATTTATTATTCACACCATCTGTATAGAATTTGTACAGCACCATTACAAGGTATACAGTAAAACTTGTTTAGTACGAACACGGATATTGCGAATTCACAGGTATAGCAAAGTCATCTTGGATTCCCAGCTGTATAAATTTAATAAATTTCTTATACGGTTATATCGAATTACCGATATAGCGAAGTAATTTCACAGGTCCCAGTGACTTCGTTATAACCAAGTTTTGCTGTATTAATTTTAAAATTTCTAAATATGTAAAACATTTTATCATTTTTAGAATAAAACAACTTACATCATCAGCTCCATCTAGTAAACACATGACTAGTACAATATTGCTTTGGTAACAGAAGAAATCCCACAATCCTTTCTCCTTTACGTAATGGTTCAGTTTCTTTGTGCTTTCTGTAATGCAAGAAAACATTAATTTTCATCATATGTCTCCAAGAAAACAGTTTTTTTTACTCTCTTAAACACAGAACTGATACTTTGAGTATTGCCTTTGGTAGCAGTATCATTGGTTGTAGTATGTTGAGTTCATCCTATTTAAATCGCTCTCTGACAGATTGGATCTCAAAATCAATTTTAGTTTACCTTTTATTTACGTCATAAGGAGTTCTCAGAATGTTACAAAATCTAATTATTGTAACGATCCCTTCCCCATTTTTCTTGAATCTCATTTTTTTTATCTTGGTATTTTTCTAAAGCACTTTCATGCATACTTTCAATTCATCCATCAATTCTTATAGAATATTGAAATGTCCATTTGAGTTATTTCTTAATTGTTGGTTGACAACTTCTTAAATGTAGCAATGAACTATGCCATTTTTCTTGTGTTTCGATGTGTTGAGTGTCAGACATCGTCTTGTTATTTAATTAAACGCTTTTTGTTGCCTTAATTGTATATACGTAATTATAAAGCTGCACTGTAATTTAGGATTATCTTAAAGTGTATTTTGAATTTTCCCATGATGCATCACGATGATCTATTTTTACTGGAGTCATTTCGGCAGAAGATTTGATTGTAAATTCTTTTAAATTAAATGTTAAACAGTGTTAAATGAGCTTTTAAAGTGTAACTTTATGTTTTATGAATTTATTTAATTTATTTATGCATTGTAATAATTTTACAAACGATGTACGAGAGTGAGATTTCATTACGGGACGATAGTTATATTTGATTGGCTGATTATTATTTACGGGATGGAATTACCGTATTAGTTATGATTGGTTATGAATTATTGCGGGTTTTGTTAATTCTATGAATACTAAGATGCTGATTATCGTTTGCTCTCTCGTTTTCTTTGTGTCCTGGAGAAAGGTCACCAGTTTTTTTCAGTGTACTATTTCAGTATCTAAGTGACTGAAGTACATATTAAATATGTAATGTTAGTTTAGGCTAAATTTATATTACTAGTAATTGTACTAGTTTTTTTTATAATTACAAGTTGAGAACTAGTTATTTTCATCTTCTTTAGCCTAGTTTAGGAGTTAGGAAATATTTCTGCTGCATGCTAGTAATTGAACTAGTAGCCGCAATATTTATTTGTAAATTAATTATAAGTCATTTATAGAGAGCCTTTACGTTTTATTTTGGTTGGGGGAATTTATTCAATTACAATTTACTGGAAATAGTGCCAGTTGCCCAGTTGTATCAGTAGTTGTACTGATTTTGTCTTTTGTCACAAGGGTTAAGACTTGTGAATTTCAAACACTGTTATCTATTTTCGATGTTCATGTATTACTGAATAAAATTATAAAACTTTACAGTGGAGTTTTTGTTCTCAACACAAGGCAGGCGTTCCGAAGCATTACATTATAAAAGCACAAAGAGGACTTCTTTATGCTTTTGCAATTAGAAGATGTATTTAAGAAATAAGGTATCATTTTAAAACATCTATCGGGATGTAAATACGGGTTGGTCACAAGATTAAATTCCATAAAGCCGGAAGGGCTTTATGATGAAATTAATCTCGTACCAACCCATATCTATATTTACATTTTTTTTTGTGACTTATTCATACTCTAAATTTGCCGGATTGTGACTTTTAATGTGTGAAATGCATTATTTTTCAAACCCAACGGCATGTTTAAAATTCACTGAACGTGCGTCAACCCTTTATGACGTCACTGAGAAATTACGTCAAACGTTTATCCGTACGCACATCTATGACCTCTTGACCCCGTACCTGTATTTATACAGTTATAGATACGCATTGCTTTCAGTAGTGTTATATAAAGGAAAACATTTGCAAATGTAAATATATATAAATGTGTACTAAATTCAAAATCAAAAAATGTGATGAGAATATAAAGGACAATAGAAGATCAACAAAAAGTTGAACTTCTCTAACATATATGTTTTTTATAAGATAATGTACATCTTGCATAGATTCTTTGAAATTAAGCTGAATGTGTTTAAAGCAGACTGACAGATCAAGACAACATTACATAAATTGCATTATCAGAAGCCTTGTTATTAAGCTTTAAAAGTTAATATCTAGGTGATTTAAATAAAATGTACCTGGAGTGAATGACTTTCTCTGCTTTGCCTGCTCATTGTATTGGAAGGTTTCATAAAGGATGGAGAGAATCTCCAGACAGGTTTTACGTCTCTGGTAGCAGGAACCGGGCACCAGGTTATCTATACACAAGGTGTGTAGCCATTCCACAAACTGTAGGGACACATCTAGGTAACAAGACATGAGCATTTATTCTGATGGAACCATCAATGTTACCCCTACCTGATTTTTTTCCCCTAGTACTTTAGGTTTTTTTGTTTGCATATTTGTAGGGAAATACAGATTATCTGTATGATTTTGATATTGACTAATTTAGATCGAAATTTTTTCAGACAACATAGAAACAGTCCTTTCCTAAAGTGCCCAAGTTATTTAAATTTTTTACATTAGATAACACTAACCTGGCATTTCTTAAGAAATAAAGGAGAAAATATTCAGTGGATGTAAATGTATAGCACTCACATAAAATCTCTAAGTCCACTGTATTGATGACATCAGATAGTCCTTACCTTGATTCTCTAAATCCCCTGATTTATGATATTAGATTGACCTTACCCAGAGAGTTTAAGTCTTTTGACTTTATGAGGGCCACTGATCCATCTCTCACTCTGATCAGAAGTCTTTTCAGATGAGCTGCCAAGTGTTGCCTAAATGGAGCCGAGTCTATTTTCAAATTGAGTGGAAGAATTTCTCGTAGAAGTTTGTCTTCTGTCTTTGACAATGGCTCTGCATGAAAGAAATATTTTCACAGTGGCATATTTATTAAATGGTCAAAAATTGTAATTGTATTTCTCTTAAATTTATCTACTGTGTCATTTTTATAAGCTGCATGACCAAAAGACCAAGAAAATTATCTGATACCAACATGTTTTTAGGACTAAAAAATGCTTTAAAAATCATAATTGAGATTATAACAAGTGACTCAAGTGTTTCTGAAGAATGCCTCCAAATGAAAATTTACCTGATTTTTTATGGCAAACACACAATAATCCTAAAGCCTCTGATCTGATTTCATCCTGACAAGAGTAAAGTCCCTCTCTTATTAAGTCTTCTCCCTATCAAAATTCAATTGTAATTCATGTTTCCTACAAATATAGAGTCAATACTTACTTATAAAAACATAATATTGTGTGTACATTTCTGCGATGCCTCACTTCACTGGAAAACTACAGAACCTAGAACACTGAGACTCTTGTTGTTCTAGTTTTAACTTACATGAAGAATGAAGAGGAAAGTAGTACTTGATGTTTTAATTCATAATTGTGTATTAAAATTTTACAATTTTTTAATGAAAAATATGAAAAGCAACACTTCATTTTTAAAGCTGATTAACATGCCTATAAAGTGGACATTTTTGTTTCTCTATACAAAAATCTTTGTCATTGTAAGATGATTAGACTAATATACCTGTAAAGTGGACACTTGTGTTGCCCTTATAACCTTTGACACAGATAAATAAGCAAACAGCAGCCATGTTCTTTCAGTTTTTGTGTTTTTCAGCATTTGCTGAAGCTTTGTCTGGATATGAGAGCCTAGGTGCGGTGCTGTCTTTGTGGTAGAAGGAATCCAGTACTGATTGACATTGTTTCTCTGAAGTCTAAAATAAATTCACAAAATTTTGGGGTTTAAGTCATACTCATGTTATTCAACATTAGTTGTTATTCAACATTAGCATCACCTAGCAACATACTAAAACCAATTTCTTTATCAATACTGGTACAGGTACTGTATAAGATGAAAGAAAATCCTACCAGGATGTACCTTTGCAAGAATGCTCAGATAGTTTTTGACATATTGACAGTAATATACACATTACATGTATACTCCAGTATTGCTGAACTTTTGAAGCAAGTGTGACAAGGTAACTGACCAAAATCTGCTTATTTTTCTAGATTTTCTTTGACTGTAGTTTATTACAAATTTATAAATTTACAAATTCCTGAAAGGTTACTGTATAGCCTACATATTTTTGCTCTGAAGACCAGACAGGAGGATGGGCCACCAGGTCCCCTCCCAAACTGCTACCAGCTCCTCTTCTGTTGTCCTCCTCCTGAGATTATCATAAACATTTCTGTAATCTTATTTCATAGTGACATATAAAGTGGAATCACTTAAATTCGTGGGGGCCAGTTTTGTATAACTCACTTAAAAGGATAGGAGGGAAGATAAATGAATGTATCTTATTTCAGTTTCAAGGATAGGAGGAATAAAAAGAAGATTTACCTCAAGTCCGATACAATAGTCCTGTAGACATCAGCAGCAGCTGAAGCCAGGTAGTTTGTGGTCAGACATCTCAGGAGTTCCTCAGGTAAGTCAGGGTATTCCCTCACTATCTGCAAATCAACAAGTAAGTTTAAAAGTAAATTAATCATTATATACAGGCATATTATGTACACCTTAAAATATAACATTATATAATACATGTATAAAGGGAAGACTAAGTAAACTTGCATTATACATCCAAATGTAAGGACTATAATTTCAATCATTTATCTTTCAGGTGCAACTAAATCATTTTTATTAAAATTGTGCATTTTTGAAGAGAGTATTAAACCTAAATGATCTTTTGGGATAAATTTCTAATCACAACTTCTAAAATTGTTTTTATATACAAGTATTGCTCAAACAAAAAATAGCTATCCAGCAAGGCTAATACATTTGTGTCCCCATCTATCCAGAGCTGGATCAAAGAAATTTTTGCCTCAGTCATGTTTTAATGTGAATTTCTAAGAGAATAAAATTATTATTATGCAACCTTAATAATTAAATGAATCAAAAGAATTGTTCAAAAAAACTTACAAACTGAGACCCTAAATAAGGCATCAGGGCTGACATAACTTTATATTGGCCCTTAATATACCAAGGTACACTCTTAAGCTTTAGGAGGATAGAAGAGTAGAATTGATGTGCTTCATCACCATCTTCTGTCTTCTTTTCTTGATGAGCCACTTGCCACACCTCAAACAAACATTTCAGAGAGTCTGCTGCTAGTTCAGAAACATCTTCAACTGGGCTATCCCAATTAAGCCACACAACATCTATAGTCTTCTTATTTAAACAGGAGTCAATGAAATTTTCACTTTCAATCAATTCAGAGGACACTAAATGTAGAAATTTATTGAACCATGTCTGTAGAAGATTAAAGGCATGATATCGTAAAGATATCGGCCCCATGCAGAATTCATGCACCACAGAAAATAATTCCACACAAAATGGCACTGAGTCCTTTGAATGGAACGCTAAACAGCTGTCACTTGCACATGCTAGCATTCCTTTAACCATTGCAATAGCACCAAGTCTTAGCTGTAGCAATGAATGCTCCTCAATCTCTCCTTCTGTCATCAGATCTTCATAGGAAGAAACATGGGATCTGCTACCTGAGAAATAATTCAATACATGTATTAATCATGGGATCTGCTACCTGAAAATTTATCTAAAAATAATTTTTGCTCTACTTACTGTGTTGCATATATTAATACTGTACAGTGGGATAGAAATAACTAACATTATGATAATAATTATTTATTTAATTTTTTTATCTCAACCAGACATTTATTTTGTAAAAGATAGATACATGTATACATATATGTACATGTATATCTCTGCAAAATGATCATCAGCATTTCTAATTTATACTTTACTATACTGGGATATTTTTGCCCAGTGTTTTTGTCCAAGTAAAAAAGGTCAAAATAAATGATGGTGAAAAAAAAATTCTATACAGAGTAACTCACATGTGCATGTAGCTACATTCACTCTCTGTCAGATGATTCAAACATGTCTATATGAATTTTTTTTAGGGAGGATAAAATACCTGTAGTACAAATATAAAATTGAGAAAAGCTTTTAGAAAATACTAACCTTGAAATATGTTACTGAATACAGTCCAAAATGTGCCAACGGACAAGTTATTTGTTGGTGCAGATGCTAAAAATATCCCAATGGCTGTTCCAGACAGCATTTTGACATCAGCTGACAGAGCCTGTAGGAAAAATTAAATTACAGTTAAACGCTGGTATCTCAAATGCCACCATGTAAATACAAGAAATCTGTTAAAATGATTTGTTGGTCACAACTACATTATTATTATTTTGAGTTTCAACCATGAATATCTGGATATTCATTATGTTTTTTAACTGTCTAAACATGTTTGTGACAATGAAATTTGAGTGTATATATGGTAAATTGACAAAAACATGCAATACTGCTCATTTAATAACAAGACTTATGTCTTTAAATATACTTAGTAGTATGCTTAAAAGTTGAAACGTTCTATCTTTACAAAAAGAAGTGGATATGATTTCCAGTAGAGGCTAGTAAATAGATCTTTAACATCCTGGAAAAAAGATCAAAAATCGAAAATAAGTACCTCTGTGTCCAGTAATTGAAATAAATGAAGTAGAATTTGTTTGAGAATTTGCCACATTTCATCCTGATATTCAGTTTTCCATGCTACAATACATGTAGTTGCTGGACAAGATTGAAACAGTTGAAGTATGATCTGAAATAAAGAAAAATGAAGGCAGTGTTTTAGAATTAAGATTTAACAAAAGTAATGTTAGCATATCTACATGCACTAAAAATATGTCAAAACAAGTGCATTTGCCTGATTTTTTAATGAAACAATCCATTGCATAAAGTCAGTGTATTAAGTGTAATATTACAAAGTGATGTCTCAGACTTACTTTGACTAAAGCAGAGACAATGAGGAGGTTCTCCTTGCTAGTACCACTGGTTGTGATTGAATCTCTAGCCTCGCTCATCTCCCGGAGAACCCACGACAGAACACCATTCATATTCTGCTCCGCTGTGGCTCTTATGATGTCACTTTGATCTAGAAGACATGATGCTACAAAAAAGTGAAGAGGGGTATTAATTTCCTTTTTCCTACTTTCATTTAATACCTACTGGGGTATTTATCATGCTTCAATTTCTTACCTGCAGTGAGTTTCTCTACTCTTGGGCGATGCTCTCTAATTACTCCCAAGAAAAATTGATTCAGTTCTTCCTCAATTCTTTTAGAATTGTCTGGTTTTAATGGCAGTAAAAACTAAAATAAGCAAGAGTAATTTATGCTTAAACATCTCAGATAACAAATCACTTGATATATCGTATAGCGGGTTATTTTAGTGGGTTGCTAATTTTGGCTTATTTTGGCGTTTTAATGATAGTCCACTAAATATTTAATCACTAAAATAGTTAGTAATCTTGTTACTGTCCATCTGCAAAGAGCTGAAACCCTGCATCCGCTAAAATAAATTACGCCAAAATTATTGGCATACCTTTGAGCAGGCAATACGCCAAATTTTACACCCGCCAAGAAAACCCGCTATACGGTAAGTACTTCAAAACAATTTGTGTTCATCAGGTGATAAATTCATTCTTATTTGTACCGTAATTCTTCTAGGAGTTAACAGTGAAAAATGCAATGGTCTTTACATACATGTACAGTGCACATGCACACTAATAGATTTCTGATGATGTAACTAATAACTATAGCATGAATATAAAGTATGTACCTTTTCCAATGATCTAGCCAATTTAATGTTCTCAATACAGTGGCAGTATAATCTGATGATAACAGCCACAAAATTCTTCACACAAGAATCATCTGTGTTGGCTCTCAATAAAATATTTCCTTTGTGCACAGCATCCAGGTTGCGTAAAAGTTTATGAACATCATTTGTTCTGTAAAATATGTCATCAATAATATTGTTTTTTAAAGTATCTACAAATCAAATTCTTCTCCTTCTTTTTTATTAAATTTGCATATCATCTTCTGATTGTCACATATGATTATTTACACAAGCCCACGGGAAACGACTCTCCATTGGTCTTTTCTGGCACAATGTACAATTAAATCTGTTGGATTTAGGTCATTTAACATACATTTTATCTCTGAGATTTTCAAATTATCTTTTAAAAAATCTAAGGTACCTGTAGTAAAGCAAATTAACAAAGAGAAGATTGATTTTCTCTTGCTGGTCTTTTGGGAAAAGTTGTAACCAATCTGTTTCTTCAATTAAAGATCTTAAATCTTCTTCCTCCTGGCCAGCCATATTTAAATGAGTTCCAATAAGAGAGGATCCTTAGAAACCAAAAAAGAAACACTATTTATCTGAATATACACAAGAAAGCACAGTTAATCTAGTCTAAACTCTCTTGAAAGATTTTTTTAACATCGTACAAAGTTGTACGGATTTGACAAGTTATAATGGCAGTAAAAACTAAAATAAGCAAAAGTAATGTTAATTTTTATCTCTGATAACAAATCACTTATAAAAGTACTTCAAAACAATATTTGTTAATCTGAAAACAGATACTAAAACAATTCTAAGTAATTCTACATAGGACCAATGCTGAAAAAATGCAATTGTATTCAAATGCATGTTCACTGTATATGCAAATGAAGATTAGAGTTCTGACTACATGCATATTTTACGTGAATATAAAGTATGTACCTGATGAGTTCCAATGGATTAAAAGAGGCAGAAAGAATCCTTTTAGTTTTAAACAAAAAAGAAAATGCAAAATATTTTAGTAATTTTTTCTCTATTTTTTTTAAATTGGCACTTAAATATGCAACTGTAGTTTACACATTAAAAGTATCCCGTGTTATCTGAATTTTTTCCACTAGGCCTATTTTGATATTTGTCGTGGCAGACATGCTTTGAAAACGTCATATCAAAAGCTCGCACTGAAAAAATGTAATCTCCGAGGTAATTCGGAATATCAGTCATGATTGAGCACTTGAAGTGTCGACGAAGTTTAAAGTTCTGCTTCCAACTTAATTTATCAGGACTATCTTTTTCTTTTATTTTACTTGACCCATTTCATTAAACACTTGACGTCAACCTTACCAACTGCTTACGTTCTTGGACTTTCTTATTTCGCGCACATTGTTTGTGTTGTGGTTTTAAGCGGAAATCTCGAAGCCAAAAATAATTTATAAATTTAAACAAAATAACTATTTACAAATAATTTTATTCCAAATATTACGCATCAGTTATCATTGTTTGACTGAATTTCGGTGAAATATTTTTATCTATTACAGTGTGTTATAAATTATTATTCCTAAGATTAGGTTCGAGATTATAAGAAATGAAAGCGAGGCTCGCTAGAGTTAAGAAAAGAGAATGGAATGTAAGGAATTTTGTTTCTTAGTTGAATCAATATCACTCAATTAATGCATAAAAAGCGAAAGTACTCCCGATTCACTACTGTCATACTTTAATTTAAAAGGTAAGTGATGGCATGTCAATGAAATCTGATGAAACTGAGCTCGTTAAACTTGTTTTGAGGGACAACTTTTTCCACCGGTGCTCCCATTGGGACGCACAGCACGTATACACTCGTTCACACGTGTGTATTGATTGTCCCTGTCAGGTCAAAAAAAAATGTTCTGATCACATTGGGGCAATATGTTTATTATAATTATTTTATGAGGGTCTTTATAAATCTAAGAACAGTCAAAGAAATCAAATTATTATCCTTTTTGAACATTTTGGGGGGAAATGAGAGCATTTTGCACCACTACATGTGTGTTGTTATGACACATAATGTTACCAAGTATGTTAATAATGTAACAGGGAAAGATTGTCAGACATGCATTCTAACAAGAATTTGTCATAAGAAAAACTTGGAAGCTAAGAAGTGTCCATTACCTCAGTATCTTACCCTGGGGAAAAAAATATTTAGACTTATTAAAGACTGAATTTTAAAATTTGGTGTAACATGTAAAATGGAGGTATATAGATACATTTTATAAAATAAGGTGCATAATTTCAAAGGATTTACAAAAGATAAAATGTAGAGTTACATGAAGCAAAATATATTAATATAGGCCTAAATATTTAATAACTATAGGGAAAATAATCCATTGTAAGATTGTTCGTTGGAAATTATCTACTGTAAGAGGCTTTCAACCAATGTTTGACACATTTTTAAAAGACATTTAAAATGATCTTATCTAAGTACATGAATGAAATATTTCTGTAATTATACTTAATAGACATTGTGTTTGTTGATAAATGCAGATCATTGATTTTTTTTCACTCAATCTGAATCTGTATGATTTTATTACATGGTAAACATATCATTCTGATTTATAATAAGTGTACTTTTTAAATCCATTTTAGTAGAATGAATTGATTGGTGATGGAAATTATTCTGCCAGATAAAAGAAAATTAAGAGGCAGAGTGGAGAGAGAGAGCGGGAGATAAACTTTTTCTTTTGAATGTGATGAAGACAAATTTATTTCAGTTCCACTTCCAGAAAATAATTATAAAACTTAAAATTGAAATAAATCAGGCCAAGTAAATTAAATTAACGGTTCTCAGGCCAATTTTATTGAAAACAGTTGAGGACAAGAAGCCCTCTCTGCCATGATTTTTATTAATTTCAGAATTTTTTTTTAAATAAAGAAAATTTATAATTATACTGGAGTCATTCTGTATTTATATTTAACATCCAACAACATTGTATACTGATATATTTCATTTTCCATGGTGCTAGGTGTCCATTTCAATATCCCATCATAAGGTACCAAGGGGTGATCTTGTTTTTTACAAAATGCTTTTACGAAATGGAAACCTGAAAACAAAAGTGTAAATCTATGAAAAAATGAGGAAGGAATTATATTTCCTGCATTGATTCCACATTATCAACTTATTATTAATTTATTGAAAGTACAGATAATAAAAAAAGTTGCAATGCACTAGCAACCTCAAACCAGATGGACACAGACTCTGAGAACCATAAATTCAATTTTATTTAGTCTTACTAAAACTTTAAATAAATGGACTTCAAAAATAGAAAATATATTCATTTCTAACATTAAGCTTAGAACCCATGAAATTTTGACAGCAATGTTTACATAATATTTTTTTTTACAGGTGTATTATGGCTATACACCATAGGAGGTACAGAAGGCGATAAGATTCCTGACTAGTGAATTATGTCCTCACTGTCCCTGCATAATGCTGCTAATAAAAAGAAGAAAATCGTCAACGTCATCTTATTAAATGGAGAGGCCTATCAAGTCACAGTGGATGTGAGTAGTGCAACTAGAAATCGAGTTATGGACCATATATGCCCTATTGAGTGCCCCCTGCCCATAGTAGTTTTTTTTTAACAGAAAGCCCTAATAAGTGCCCCCATTCATTTGCACTCAATAGGGAAAATATGATATTTGAACTAAAAAAAATGTTTATATCAATAAGAAAATGAATTTAAATATACAGGATGAAACCAGCTCATATTTTGTGTTGTTTTGTCTTTATAGGTCAAGTCCAAATTTTTTGATGTCTTCAACCAAATTACCTCTTACCTAAATCTTAGAGAAACAGAATACTTTGGACTGGCTCAAAAGAAAGGTTAGAATATTATGTGTCGAATATTTCTTTTTTTATTTCATAATATTTTAACACTGGTTAACTTACTGATTGTTGTAAACATTGAATAATAAATACATTGAATATAATTTATTACATTGTGATTGCTGTTTAAAATTATATTGATTATTCTAGATGAGGAATATTTTTTTGTTGCACTGGATGAGAAAATCCATAGACAAGCTCCTAAGTCATGGAAATCAGGAAATGGAGAGGTACTGTTCAACTTTAAATATAAATTATGCAGTCTCATTTGATACATTATCAATATAAAAAATATTTGTATATTTAAAAAAATTAACTGAATTTTTTTTTTTTAATTGAATAGGGATTGGATGAACGTGGTCAGCCGATATTAACAGTTTATTTCCGTGTTCATTTCTATGTTGATCAGTTTGTATTACTTAGGTAAGATCTGTTATGACTCGAAACTAGAATCTGACAAAAGTTGAAATTCACAAATGTTTTAATTATATTTCTGTATATTTATAATATTATTGTCTTTCACTATTTAAAAAAAAAAAGACAAAGAAAAAGTACAATTTAGAGATGAGAAGAGTCACTATACCATAATTTTTTTGTCTTCCAGGGAAAAGGTCACTAGACATCTGTATTATCTCCAGTTAAAGGAAAATCTGCTGAGTTACAATCATGTTTGTTCGGAAGGAAAGTGCTTTCAAATGGTGTCTTATGCACTACAGGCAGATTTTGGCAATTATAATTCAGACAAGCATGGAGAGGGTTACTTTGATCCAAGGGAATACTTTCCTGCCTGGGTATTTAATTTTGATAGAGTTTCCATATTTTAGATACGAAATATTTTATTGATTTTGGCAATAAGTTTATTAAAATATTAATCCAGTTTAACTAGTAGTAAGAGAAATAAATTCTGCAACAGGTTAAATTTTTTTTACTTTGAAAATCACATTTTGGTTTACTTGGTGTAGATAATCCTACTTTTTGAGAAAGTAGATAAAGCAAACAAATAAATTGGAAGTTTTTTTTAATTTATTGACATAAGCTTAGATGGTTTAGAAAATATTTTCAGATGGTAAAGAGAAGGGGCGAAAACTACATTGTGAATAATACACCAGTCATCCATCAAGATTTACAGAATGTGACAAAGTCGGAGGCAGAGTTGCGATTTATTCGGGAAGCCTCCATGTCACCTGCTGCACACAATCTTCATTTTTATCGTCTTCGGAAACGGAAAACTGACAAAACTAGCAATGCATGGTTAGGTGTTTGTGCCAAAGGAATTGAATTATATGAGGTAAATTTCCAGCGTTACTTATGTGAAATCATAAACTTGCAAATAAAAGAAGTTTTTCTCGAAAAACTATTTATTGTAAAACTTAAATCTTAAACATTACAGGAAATTGAAACTATTTACTGTAAAACTTTAATCTTCTACATTACAGGAAATTGATGATTCATTCAAAAATCTCATTTCAACATTTTTATGGCCTGATATTGGAAAACTTCACTTTGAGGTAGGTAAAAGAAAATGAAAATTAACTTCTTTCCTTTTCCACTTAAAAAAAAAAATCACAGGATTTTGATAGATAAACAATTATTTACTCGCCTGGTATTTTTATGAAAAAGAATTCTATGAATGAAGTGCTTTGATCATTTGATTGATATTCTGTTTCATCAGTATGTCAAAGGTTTTTTATGGTCAAACAACAGGTGGAGCCATCGGCCATACTTTTAATGAAATGATTACATATCTGTAAGGGCTGGGCAAAAATATTGATATTTCCGTATATTGCAATACAGTGAAAAAAAAGTATCGTATTGCAATACGTTTTTTTTTAATATAGATATACCGGCAAAATGCTTTAACTCAGGAATTCTTTAATTAAATATTAAGAAAAGTTGTCAGAAAGGTTTGGGAGTAAGCAAAATATTAAGACATAAGCTGTTGTATGTGGTATTTCAGTATATATAATTATAACTGTTATTAAATCAACTTGATTTTTATCCCCCTTGGTTACTTATCAAAGTTTTGTACATTCTACATGTAAATTAAAGTTAATATATCTACATGTAAATTAAAGTTAATATAATGAGAGAATGCCATATTTATCATGTTGAAAATATTGCAATACATATGGCAATACAGTTAAAAATTTTGCAATATATTGCAATAAAAAATCTCTGGCCAATACCCAGCCCTAATATCTGTGCTTGTTTAAGGATTCGTGTGTATCTTTTAAGTTAGTGCTTTTCAATGAAATGTTTTCCCTTCTATGTAGAAAAAGAAGTTTGAGATTCAGTCCGGGCCAGGAGGGAGGAAATTTGCTTACTACACAGACTCGGATAGCAAGTCCAAGTACCTGCTATCTCTCTGTCGGACAACTCACATGTTCCAGATGGCCATCCAACCCAAGCTGATGGAGATCAGACACTTAGATGCAGAGGGTAGGAGTGTCATTTTTGTGATCTTAAGAGAATTGAATGTAGTGTTCCATATCTCCTGTTAGGTAGATCCAATGATATTTATGAGCATATCACATATTTGGAATGATTTTTGGAGAATTGATTTAAAAAAAAATGTTTGTGAGCTTTTCAGAATTTTAACAGAAAGAATGCCATTTTTCTGAAGGTGTTTTCATGGCAGAAGATTAATAAATGATACATTTTTTACCCACATGTACTTTAAACGAAGTTAATAAATTGATTTGAAAATATTGTTGCAGATAAGAGGAGATATCGAGAGTCTTATATCTACTCAGACACTCAAGACCTTGTGACAAATGGAGGGGCTTTCCGTGGGAACCTCTCTCCCTCTTCTAAAGGCACAACCACAAGGTTCTCTGTGGTCAGTGATGCTAGTTCTAACACCACGTCAGGCATTGCCAGTGACAAAATGACCATCAGTTTTGAAGAGAGTGATGGTAAGCCTTCTTAGTAGATTTTGTAATGATATTACTGATCCATCTTATTTGCTATCTATTTAAAAATTGGATGTATCATACACTATTGAATAATGCTGAAATTTAATTTTGTGAAAATGAAAGTACGGTAGCATTGAATCTGCCATTGGGTGTTCTGTGTAAAGTTCATAAAATTATATAATTTACATGATTACATAGATTTTTACGAAAAATGTTAAATTGTTTTTTGATTGAAATTTTGTTGTTTTGTAGATCACAACAAAGAAATCATCATAGACTGCCCACCACAAGTGTCCAATTTTAGAATGTCTCCTCGTCAAGGGAGATTGAAAACTGATGGCGGCATCATCTCCACATTGCCAAGTACGTATGATAATGAGCTTGGTCTCAAGACCTTAAGCAGAAAAAATTGCATTAACATTTATATTTTAAATCGTGAATCTTTTTTTAAAGAATATGTTAAAAGAAGATTGCATAATATTTTAATAAAACCACTAAATGAAAAATTTGTTGTAATAATATGAAAATTTGACTTAAGTTTTTCTCAGTTTATGGGTTTGAGACCTCATATTTAAAATTTGTTATGTAACCTTTAACATGAAGAATGCATAATTCATGGCAGTAGTCAAAACTCTGAAAAATTTCATAAACTTTATCATTTGAATTCTTAAATATACTTTGTTTTAAATCTAATGATTATGAAATGCTTCCAGGTTATGTTCCTTCACGAAGTAAGAAGACTAGCCCTAAGCTGGACTACAAGTCTGCTTCAGTAGGTCGAGGAATAAAACGTGTAGATCGCTCACCGTCACTTGGAAGACCCACCCTCCCACCGAGTACATCACCCATCATCCGGCACATCGATAGAATATCACCCACCGCCACGCCTGTCATTGGTGTTCATAGGGCCGATGTCAGTGCACACAGTGGACATAGCACTCACAGTGTTCAGAGTTCTAGCACTATGTTTAACAGTTCTGAGCATATGAACAAGTCTCCCAGTGGGAGTAGTCTTGGCTCCATACAAGGAGGAAGACTGAGTTTGCCTTGCCCTCCTCAGTCAGTACCACCCACCTACAACAGTGCCAGGACAGTGCCTGTCTACGTCGCACACTCAACCACCTCTAGTTTTAGTCATTCAGATGCAATTTCCTTTTCACAGCCTGTTAGTAGAAGCACAAGTCGTGCAGATAGCTTTAACAAGAACTTTGGAAGATATCAACTTCAGGAGAATGAACCCTTTGTTCCTCCAATATCAAATCAGTTGCAGACTACTTTCCCTAGCACCCTGGCACCACCATGTAGTGGATGTGTCACCCCAATGTTAGATGCCTTGGCTGGAAATCTTGTTTTATCCAGCTATCCTTCAGTTACTCAAGGGGTGATGACAGAAGTGGCCAATCCTGAGGTGACTGAGTCTTACATTCCTAACAATGAAATGACCCTGCCAGAAATGACAAAGGAGTATCTGGCCCCACCACCAATGTTCGCAGACCTAAGTCACAATGAATCCACTGACTCTGCACTGTCTGGATCTAGTAATTTGGATCCCAAGTTATCTGGAACTTCAGAGAGTGAATCTGCAGACCATGTAGAATCCGATCTTGAAGAGGTAAGAATTTCTTGCTTCATTGGCATGGAAAATTGTCAAATTATGTGAAATATGTAAAGAAATATCTAAACAGAATAAATTATGGATTTACTTCTTGCAGGTAAAACAAGAAAATGAGCCAAAGAACGAAAACCCACCGACTCAAATTTCAGTCAATAATCAAGAGGAAATTCTTCATCCAGAATTAGAGGAAATAAGAGGTCAGCCCAGTGCATTTTCTTCATTCTCCATGATAACAAAGCTTTGCAATGACAAATCATTGATGCAAACTCCATATCCAAAAGCAACAGGACCCATGATTGGTGCATATGATATGAGTTCAATGAGGTCAACAGACTCAAGGATTTCACATCTATCACATGAGTTGGATTCTCGGCGTTTGTCCTCGTGTTATCCAGAATCCTCTCAGGCTATGGTAACCCCAGTCACCCCCACACGACCCTACAGCTGGCACAGTGAAAATTTTGACCTTGACTCCCAGTTGACCTTGATGAATGGTAATGTTGCTATGATGCCTGGTTACTTTGATAACCATAGTAGCATGCCACATGCCCTGGGTGGGATCCTGGTGGCACCTTCTTCTACTCTAACAAATTCAGTCAATTTGGACTTTGGGAGACCCCTTATGATTGGTGATAGATACTCACCACAATCAATAGCAAGTCATTTAATGATACCTTCTAAACTTTCAAGTGGTGGACATAGTACAACGGACAGGAACATTAGTCAGAAAGCTTTTAAGGAGACGTATGGGATAGCATAAATGCAGTATTTGATAAACTATTCAATTTTGTTAAAACAAATCTTTTCACTTTATTTATATCTGCAAGTGAAACTGTGAATTTTTGAAACTGCTGAAATCTTCTGATTTACCTCCTTCTTCCAGACAGTAGATCTGAAATACACATTTAATGATTGAACAAAATATTGAGATTTTGATTATGTTTTTTATTGTTAAATGAATTTACTGAGTACAGTTTGTTAAGTTCAGAGAGAGATAAAAAATATTTACTGCCAAAAGAATGTGTGTGTGTCAGAGTACTGAAGAGTAGATATTTTTGTTGAAGATTATTTTTTATCAAATATTATTTTTATGTGCTGTGCACAAAATGATATTGTTCTAACATTAACACTGTTTCAAATTTTGCACATTTGTACCCATAGTGTACTTCCAAATAATGATCTTTACTTTGTACTTTGAAAATTTTGGTATTATAAAAAACAGGACCATATAAATACTGTTATATAATATTATTATGTCTTAAAAATGCATTCTATGCAATCTTATTGGATAAAATTTTATATTACAGATTTATATATTTATGTACTACCATTTCTCTATATTCAAACATATTTCATTTTTTTCTCTAAATTTGCAATAAAAAATTGTTGTCATATGATGTGGTAAAAAAAAGTTGTGATATGTATATCTCAGTATACAAGGTTGTAATAGGCTCATTTTGTCTTCAAAGGCAAAATTTCATGAAGATGTTAAATATCATTTTTCCAGCTGATAGTTTGAGCTTTAATGATAGATATATAAATCTATATATTATATGTATGTGTACATGTATTTGTATTGGAATTTTAACTTTTAAAATGTTTTTGCATCAAGTTTATGCATTTTACCATGATATTATTTTAGTTTTTTTCGGATAAGCTTCAGAAATGAAGTTTCTTTTCCCTTTTATATTGTAATGAAGGATTTCAGAGTTGCATTGTAAACTAATAGAAATATTCCAGAAAATGCAGTGTATTGCAAGTTCATATATTCCGTATCAAAGTTTGGAAAAATAACTTAACAAAACAATTCATGCAGATAATACTAGTATCTATGATTTTTTATTTTTTAAAAAACACTAGACATTAAGAAATTTTCAAAACCGGAAATTGAATTACCAGTTTTCCTATCTATTCAAGAAAGTAAACTGCACATATTTAATGAAATGTAGATTTATTCTAGAAATCCTGAGATATGTTGTCTTCTGATCATTAGCTTACAATGCAGCTGTGAATCCAGCGCGAATCATTCTGTGATGTTAACATTGTGATAAAGGCTTCATAGCCGGCATTTCTTAATCACGGTCAGTATAACCCACTCTACAATGCTTACATGTTTGTCAAACAAACATTTTCCATAACTCATTTATCAACAAAATCCTGGGTAATATCTATTTATAAATGCTGTAATGGGGGAGAAAAACTTGATCCTGTCTAATGATACTGAAATTGGGCCAGATTTTCAGCGTTAATGAATGAATAGTACTGTAAACCAACTATTATTCGCGTCATCTTTTATTCGCGTTTCCTCAGTTCAATATCAATCCGCGACGATTAATTTCCGGGACTAATAAAAAATTCTGTACAAATGCTTAACAAAATGAATGGTTCGTGACGATTAATATTTGATCGCGGAACTCGCAGATATTTCTCGCACGCCAATAAAAGTTGGTTTACAGTATCTCATGAAGAAATGATGACCTGCGTGTGTTGATGCGTAACTGAATTGGTTAAATATATATAAAATATTATTTAGAAAAAAAATATTTTAAAAACTAATGTAAAATGTGTAATGAGAGCATTTATTAATGATTTCAAATCCCATTTTACAGGATGATTTCATCAATGTGAATTAATTAAACATGTCATTTTAAATCATATAAATTACAATTTACACTTCATCTTTATGAAAAATGACTTTTGTTGCATAACTGTTGTACCCAGAAAGCATTTATGATCATTTAGTTTTATAATGAGGATGTCTGGTTCCTAAGAAATTGTATTTCAATGAAAGGATTTTTGTTCCAACATAAACTTTCATTCTTTTGTATTCTTGCTAGTAAAAATAATCCATATTTTTTTCTCTCCATAAGCTATGTTTATCAGAATTTTTTAACATTAGCCTTTTGTGTCACAAGGATGAATTTACGATTTATTTTTGACCATCCAGACACCTTCTTATGACATCTCTGCCACAAAAGAAAAAAAAACCCATTATACAAATTGATGTATTTCTTTCTTTTTATATCTTTAAAGTCAGTACCTACTTAATTTTCTTTTCAAACATTGTTAGCAAGAGTACATATTGATGTAATGTAATCTACATTCTCAGCATGTTTACGAAAGAAGCTTATGGGCATTTGAGGGCCATTTCTTTAATGATATGTTCTCTAACGATAGACGATTTCTCTGTAACCATGGAATGTTGTAGCTGATTTCTTTTGCAGGTACAGAAATGGTATTGTTCATCATATCATTTGGTTATTTGATCAAATACTGATGGTATTTTTCTGGTTTTTTTCCCTCATGATTGTGAAAACTTCTGTTAGATTTAGACCTCACATTTTGCCAACGGAAGACGGGTTTTAAAAAAGTTAGTAGATCTATGCAATATTCATTAATGTTGGACATTTTAGCCACATCAAATTAGATTTTTTTGTTAATGTGTAAACATATCTGTAAACTTATCTTTACAATTAAATCATGTTTTACAGATCCAAACTTTAAACAATGCTGACAGGAATGTGTTGTCATACATACCTATATGTAATGTCTAAATCATGAGTCTTAAATAAAAAGTTGTGACTATGAAATATATGCATATAAGATATCAAATAGTACATCTTTTTGTTTCTGGCTCATTGTACCAGTCTTGATCACATAAAAACAAAACAGGTTAAATCCTATAGAAGATGGTGCTAAGAATATTTCATTGAAAAGTGTTACGTGCCTTTTAATGTAGGATATGTATCAAAGACAGCTTTACTTGTTGTAAACATGATGACTAACTGGTTAATATAATTAGAAACTTTTCATACTTGTTACAGATACTAATCAATAAAATAGGTAATTCATGAAGGGAGTATTTATATAAATAAATATATGTTATTATTGTATGTTGAGTTAGTTGTGTATTATGACTATTTTCAACTGTTTGGTAAATTAACTACAGAAGCATATTAGTGTCACAATTTTTATGCCCCCAAAGATATAATCAAAGATGCGGGGGTATATAGATTTTACCCTCTCTGTCTGTCTGCCCACAAAACTTTGAACTCGCCCAAATCTTTTGAGTGGGTGAGGAAATGGTTTGCATATTTCATAGACCCTGTGTAGTTAAACATGGGCAGTCCAGTACTGATCAAGTCGGGAAAAGGGTCAAAGCATTGAAGAGTGACTAAATTGTATGTATTACAGTAAGCAAAAATGAACTTCCCAGCCCCTTACTTTGGGAAACACGGACCACTCGAAAGCTTGATGAGGAGAACCCACCCCCCCCCCCCCACACACAATACACACACGGACTCGCACACACAGGTCTGTCTAGGCGTTTTTCACGGCTGCAGTGAGTTTGGATTTTTTTATTTCAAAAAAAATTTCCGTAGTAGGAGTAAAAGGCTGTCGGACAGGCCCGTAGAACGTTGGGGGTCCCAGTTTTTTCTGAATATACATAGTATTTTGCTAAATTTCCATTTAGATACTGGTTGTCCTTCATACACTTTTTGTTGCTGTATGGTCGAATACTGGCAGATTCCAGAGTTTGGGCAATCAAGGATTTTTTTTTTGTTTGTCAGAACTTTTTTAAAACTGTAGCTTTGGGCCTTGCTGAATATTTATCTCACTGTATGTCCCTCTCCCTGCCTTAAACGTAATTCCTGGTTCTTTATTGGCATTTTAAACACATCCCCCCTCACCCCTTCCCCCTCCAAAAAAAAATTAAATCAGATTACTTGATAAATAATTATTTTTCACATCCAAACATTTACGTCATGGTCTTATTAATTCTAGGATATGGCGGTGGTGATTTGGGGGGGGGGGGGGGGGGGGTCGGGCAAGGGCACAAAGATTTTTAGCGTTTTGTTAAGGTTACAGATTGATATACCATAGGGGAAATCTTTAGTACTATTACAATATGTGTGTGATTTTGAAATCGGGATCTACCATAAATTCCTCCGATTCAGATTCTTTCATATTCATTTTCAGATTCGGATCCGTTTCATATTCAGAAACATCTGGGATGTGTTGTTTGAGTCCGAAGGGGACAAAAAGTAACTATAATCCCTGAAAAAAAGAATAAAATGAAATTAACTTTTAGAGAAGTATTTGTATGATGAATTCAAGGTCACTGGCTCACTGCATCCATTGACCAGTGAGTGAAGTATGAGCCACATTGTACCAAAGAGAGAGAAGATATACTCCGGACAAGGATTTTTCATATAATTCTGTTATGACCTTAACCTTAGACCTAGAAACGTGTTTCAAGGTCACTGCACACCCTTTACCCAAAGGCCCTATTTGGGTGACGTACGAGCCAAGGAGGGATAAAACATGCCCCGGACAAGAATTTAAATAGAGAGGATATTTTTTACTCTGATCCTTGACCTAGAAACTACATTTAAGGTCACTGCTGACCCTTTACCCAAAGACACTCTGTGGATTAAGGATGAGCCAGATCGGGTCAAGAAGAGAGGAGATATGCTCTGAACAAGATATCTCGGATGGACGGAAGGACGGACGGACACACTGATCACTGTAGGGCGCCCGCAGAACGCCCCAACTGATAATGCTTCCTGTGGGCCTGTATATGTAATGCAATTTGCAACACATACTGTCATAAAAACCTGATGTTCATCTATTTTCTTTTCAGAAAAAGGGACTAGCTTTCTCGATATTTCTGTTTATCATCTGGTTCCCTTCCTGGTATGTAACAAAGAATCTGAGGAAACACAAGGAAGCTAAGGAGGCCCAGGAGGGTTAAAATTACTGAACTCTTAGACTAGTACAGAACAATGCACATACCATCAATTTCAGTGAGGAAATAGTGTCAAAGTGATAAAGAATTGTTGTCTAATTATGGATTTGAATTAAAACTAAAACAATAAAAAAGGTTTTATTCATTTGATGTGTTTAACTTCATTACTTTTGATTTGTTTCTGTGACTTTTGTAACATATGGGTCACGGTCAAGGTCACAAGGTCATTGACCTTGGTGTCATTTGAAAGAACTTAATTAGCAGAGTTTGCATACCAAATACGAAGTCTCTCTCATGGTTCAAAAGTTATGGCAAAGGTTCAAAGAAGCTATTTTTAGCATATAGATCACAGTCAAGGTCACTAGATCATTGACCTTGGTTTCATTTGAAAGAGCTATGCAGACCAAATACTGTGAAGTTTCTATCCTTCATGGTTCAAAGGTTATGGCGAAGGTTAAAGTTTGCATACAAACAGACAGACAGGACAAAAACAATATGCTCCCCGATCTATTTTGAACCGAAAGGAATTTCTTTTTTATACAGTAGTACGAAGTAACCATGACAATACCATTTGTATTTATATCACCAGTATTAATATACCAAAATTGTAAAAAGAGCAGCATTTTGAAAAATTGATTACTGACAGCATATGGACACCTATTATGTAAGCTATTTTGGTCTTTGATCAGTTGAACCAAAAAAAAGTAAGCATTGATAAGATCAAGTAATGTTTCACAAAGTAAATTTTTGCAAAAATGGTTCAAGCACCATGGTCAAGAGGCCAAATATTGGTACCAAAAGGAAGGTTTTGTCACAAGGAATACACATATGAAATATGAAAGCCATAGCTCCAACCAATCATACGTAAAAGACAAAAGTAAACAGACAGACAGGGCAAAAATACACACCCCGGGGGCATAACAGTCATAAGATGGAAGGATGCTTATATAGAAAATTTAATCCAATTAACATCATAAAATTGATTGAACAAAAGACAAGATAGTGTGTATATTAAAAAAAAAACAAGATGTGTTTGTGAAACACTGATGCCCCCGTATGGCAGCTTTTGGCGAGGGTTGAGGTTTTTCCAATGCAAGTCAAACTCCAAGGTCAAATTTGTTGGTATCCAAAGGAAGGTCTTGTCTTTAGGAATATACCTGTGAAATATGAAAGCACAAGCACTAACAGTTCAAAAGTTATGACCAAGGTTAAAGTTTTCTTTTTTTACAAAGTTAGTCAATCTGTAAGGTCAAGGCCAAGAAGTCAAATATTTCTACACCCAATGAAAGGTCTTGTCACTGTGAACATACATTACCTGCAGAACTGTAGTTCTCTGCTTGAGAAAATTCAGACAGATAAAGCAGAGAGCTACAGATCTAACCGATGTAAAAACCTTCGATTTACGCCGACGATTTTTTTGTCGCTCATTTCGGGTATTTTTCTTGTATCTTATACTTTCCCCAGCTTTAAAAATGGTATTAAATAATTAATCATGCATTCAACTTCAATTCCTGATCATGTACTTGCCTCTCAACGCTAGCAAATGGCTGTTTGTGGTTACGGACGTCGAAATGGAACTCTTTTAAACCGACATTACAAAACTATATAGAGGACTGTTGCGGACAAATAAAAGGTAAACAAAGTATCAAATAAGAGAGTTAAATATATGAATTATCATAGGATACCATTCTAAAAGCCAGAGAATTCTTAAACTACAGTAAATAAACACCTAAAATAGCGACAAAAATTGTCGGCATAAATCGAAGGTTTTTACTACGGTTGGATCTGTAGCTCTCTGCATTATCTGTCTGAATTTTCTCAAGCAGAGAGCTACAGTTCTGCAGCTAAATATACATGATTGTGAAGTATGAAAGCCTTAGCACCAACTACCGGTATTCAAAGTTATGACCAAAATAAAAGTTCGGGTTTTGTTGGTTAAATCGGGTCAAACTCCAAGGTCAAGGGGTCAAATTGGTGGTACCCAAAGAAAAGTCTTTTCAGAAGGAATTCACCAGTGAAATATGAAAGCCATAGCAGCACCCATCAAAAAGTAATGGCCAAGGTTAAAGTGCTTGCAGACAAACAAATTAACAGACAAACGGACAAACAGGGCAAGAACTATATTTATACCCCCAGAAACTTCGATCGGCATAAGGGTAGAGCTGTCTATGAAGGCTAGGGTCGCGGAGAAGGAGTTGAACCTTGCGTCGCCGTTTGAAACCCACTATACTGCTGGACGTGGAGACCGGACCGCGGGCACGGAGCCGGGAATTTTCCCAGAGGGTCCACTTAAAAATTCACTCAGAAACTTCTTGAAGAAAGAAAAAAGTAAACGTAAGCTTTAACACTAATTAATTAATTCATCCATTTATTCTCTCAAAAACCACATGCATGGTATAAAAGATACATAATAATTATGGACGAACAGAGATTACAGATTACAGAAACCTTTGGTGATAAATACACACTATTTTCATAAGAATGCTGGACCAGTATCTGTTATAAAATCATAGAATTTATAATATTTGGATGTGCATAGTATTTATGTAACCAAAAATCTTTTCGAAAATTACATAATACTATTAAATTCCAGTAAGTATTGAAATTCGTATGCGTCTCGATTTTGAGTATTGTTTCATAAATTAATAGCACACTATTTCATATTCCATCTACTCATCTCTCTTGGAAGATGAATACCTTTCCTGGAATTTATTCATATTACTATTATACCACTTTGTAAAAATTGGTCTGGTCTTTGAGATTTTGGTTTATTGCAGTCGCAATTCATTTGACATTATGAAAAAATGACCACTCCTGTTGTGTTTAAGATTATTCAGAAATCTTAAATGTAGATGTTTAATAA